AACCATAAAAAAATTGCTGTTGATACCTTACTGTTGTCTAATCCTCAGACTCCATTGAAGGTCATCACTTGTCCAACAATGTCTTTCATAGCAAAAGGATCCAGTTCAATTTTATACATTTTATTTAGTTGTCATGTCTCTCTAGTCTCCTTAAATCTGGAAAAATTCCTAAGTCTTTGGCATTTATGACTTTACAGCTTTTGAAAATGAAGGCCAGTTGTTTTGTAGAATGTCCTTCACTTGGCTTCTTATGGTTCACTTGGGTCTTATGGTTCCTCATGCTCAGATTCAGGTTATACATCTTGACAGGAATATTACAGAAGTGGTGCTGTGTTCTTTTCATTGTGTCCTGTCAGGTGGCACTCAGTTTTCACATGTCCCATTACTGTTGGTGTTCACTTTGATTACTTGGGTTAAGGTGGTGTCTGCCAGGTGGCTCTGGCAGGCCCTTTTTCCCTTCAGAATTAGTAAATGTTTGGAGGTAAAGTGCATCGAGACTGTGTACTATCCCATTTCTCTTCACACTTTCAATTTATGGGCTTATTCATTGAGTTATAATCTGTTTCTCTTATAATTTATTTTGATGCTCAAATTGTCCCAGATTTTGCCAGTAGAAGCTCCTTCAAGATGGCTTCTGCATTTTTCTCACGTCTGCATTCTCTGAATACACCCTTACTTCCTGGCACAAGAATATGTTTCAGCCTCATTTTATCCCTGCCCTTGCTCTGGAATCAGCCATTTCTCCAAGGAGTCCTAGTTCCTTTTGGTGGAGAATGGTATTAGAAAACAAGATCTGGCTACTAGGTATGCTCATTGCCACTGGTGTATTGCTGATTGCAGGTCGTGTCAATGGATAGAGCTAAGGAGAATATGTAAGTATGTATGTGTGTCTATATATAATTATGCACACTCATTTGTATCTATGTCTGTCTGTCTACAAAACTGTGAATTGACACTGGTAACTCCAGTTCCTGTCAACACTGCAGTGTCCATTCGAGTTTTCTCTCTTTCCGTGTTTGCATTCCTCTTCTGTGACAATGAGAAACCTGGCTCCCAGGATCCTTGATCATTCCCCTGTATATAACTACTCTCCTATTGCCACTGCAGCCTGCTCCTTCACACGGATGCCTTTCTCATTTCGCTGGGGTTCCAACACCCTGCCCTGGGCTTCCCCCCGGTGCACCCTTCCCTCCCCACCCTTCTCAAGTTCCAGCATACTATGCCAGGCTGCTCTCAACGTCTCTGGGTAGACAACACCCCTGTCACTCCACTCAGACTTCAATTGTCTTGGGCCAGGCTGCCCCTCCCCGCAAGTAGATGCCCTCTTCCCTCCCTCTGGCTTCATCTCCATGCACAGGCCATCCTTCTTACTCTACCGGGGCTCCAACAGCCTTCCGAGGACCTTCCTCCGTTCTTCGCCAAACCTCTGAAGCATATGTGGAAAAACAGGAAAACTTACCTACAGTCCTTTAGATAAAAAAGATACATAGGAAGAAAACACTCCATTTTCTCTTAGGAGATTGGAAGTGTCTAGAGTTAAAAATGCTTATGGCTCTGAAATTTCATTCATCCATTCACTGAACATAGAATTATTGAACTCCTCTTGAGTGCCAGGCCCTGAGCAAGGCTGCTGGGGATAGGGCAGTGAACTAGACAAAGCCCCTCCCTCCCGAAGCTGCATTCTCTGACTCTGGCTGTTTAAGCTTTGGCAAGTTGGTAACCTCTCTAAGCCTGTTTCCTTATATGTCAAATGGAAAGAGTAGTAGTTTTGCTCATGGGGTTCTTGTGAAAATTGAATAATTCATGAAAAATCCCTAGCCCCCAGTGTTAGTTACTGTCCTAATCATCATGGAAACAATACACAGGTACCTCAGTTGAAAAACAGTATTTGTCCCTCTAAAAATAATTTTTATGTTTCATTTAATATTTTGAGGAGAAACCAAAAAATTCCTGGCAGGGAAAAATGACATCTCATCTATTCTTTGAATTACTTTTCCTTTCCTTTAGCATCCTTTTATCTAAGAATATACGCTGTTCGTTCAAATTGTGTGCATGTGTGTGTGTCTGTCATGTTTCCTGAGTCTCAGAATATAAGACAAAAGCATCAATAACTAAGCAGCATGACATGTTTGTTTGTCATGTTTGAATCAGGTGACAGTCTAATAGGTGAGTCTTCATTGGGCCTGAGAGACATGATATATTCATATATTTAGAGCACAGTTAACGAAAAGGTAATTATTATGCGTTATTAGAAGAGAACATTTTGTTGCATGGTAATTTAAGTTATAAAATGACTTTGTTTTCTAAGGGAAGATGATGACAATGTTAAAAGTATTTTTTCTGGGGCTGGCCCCGTGGCCGAGTGGTTAAGTTCGCGCGCTCCGCTGCAGGCGGCCCAGTGTTTCGTTAGTTCGAATCCTGGGCGCGGACATGGCACTGCTCATCGAACCACGCTGAGGCGGCGTCCCACATGCCACAACTAGAAGAACCCACAACGAAGAATACACAACTATGTACCGGGGGTCTTTGGGGAGAAAAAGGAAAAAATAAAAAAATCTTTAAAAAAAATATATATATTTTTTCTTTTTAACTCTTACTAGCTGCTGGTATTTGAACCCAAATGATTCCTGCTGAAAGTGATACCCCTAATAATTTCTATCTTACTGTGCTAGTGATGGTATTGTAAATGCATATGGTATGTAACTTGTAAAACTCTGGAATATTTCCCCTGGAAGCCATGCCTCTGTCATCAGAGAGATAACAAATCTCTAACCTTGGCTTTTGTGTACCTGTGGAAGTCTTAACGAGGCAGTATTTAGGGGAAGGCAATCCTGTTTTGCTTTATAAAACATAGTTAAAATTTCTGTTGTGATGTTTTACCTTTGTGTTCCTTGTCATTGAATGTTAGGAGTAACTATTCTATAAACATGGTATAATAATAATAATAGGAACTCTAGGAATGCAGAATGAAATAGAAATCTCTGTAACTTTAATGGCTTGGTGAAGTCTTCTCCACTCCCTAATTTCATATGGGGCAGTCTGATAAAGATAAAGGTCCACACCTAATAATAAACCTATTAGAGAATTGTGATGGTGTCAGCTAGTTGAGTGATTAATTGAGTCATTGTCAACCAGCAGAGCACAACTCATTTGAAGGCAGAAGTGGGATAACTAGGAAACAGTGTCAGCATAGATGGTCTGAGAAGAGGTGAAACAGGCAAGGAAAGTGAGAAGGTCTGTAGAACCTTAGAGAAGAATTTCAAGGCAAAGGAAAGATCTCTAGTGCCAAGTACTAAAGAGTATCAGGCAAAGCAGTAGGCTGAGAAGATAGCCTACCCCCCTTTTTTTGTGAAGAAGATTGGCCCTGAGCTAACTTCTGTTGCCAGTCTTCCTCTTTTTGCTTGAGGAAGATGTTTCCTGAGCTAACGTCTGTGCCAATCTTCCTCTACTTTGTATATGGGATGCCGCCACAGCGTGGCTGGATGAGGGATGTGTAGGTCTGTACCGGGATGTGGAGCGCACAAACTTAACCACTACACCACCTGGCTGGCCCAAAGATAGCCCTTTTGTTAGCAATAGAGATTGGTAGGAAGTGGAAAGGCCATAAGGGTCTGCTTACATGCTTTTCTAATGTGGAACATACCAGTATTGCCAACATGTACTGGAATTCTATGTCGTAGATGAAAGAGGATAGGGAAAAGGGGCTAAGCGTAAGAGATATGAGGTAAACGAGGATTGAACCCATCAGCCAGGAGGTGAGTTGGGGGGGTGTGGTGCGGAGAGTGGAAAAGGGAGAGCAGTAGAGGAGGAAAGAACTGGAAGGGAAAGGACAGAATGAGAAAGAGGATCAGACCTTTCTGGATTTCTAGGCTTTAGAATGTGTTGTCATTTTCCTGTAAGATACTAGCTGTGGCTTATATTTCTTTGGTTCTTTGTCAAATTTTTAATTTGTATTTGCTAAGAAGTAGGAAGGTTTTTCCTGTGAAGCTTCAAGATTTGTTTTTTGTTTTTTTCTCAGTAGAACAACCACAGCAGCCTGCCCTAGGGAAATTATTCTGTGGGGTATGTTTAGCAAGATAACATTAACTTTATGGCAGAAGAAACTGATCAAGACAAAGGCCACACTGAAGATTCCCCTGTTCCTGTGCTAAACTCTGTGGTCAAGGATTGACATTAGTTTCCCTTGTTTAAACGTTACTCAATCTTCTGTGTGTCAAGCATGATTCTAAGTGTCAGGGATAAAAGGAGGAATAGGATAGTTCCTACCCTCAGGGAGCAGGCTGGCTAATGGGAAAGACAAGTGATGAGTATATATAAAATGTTTTGGCATCAAGAAGAGGGAGCACTCTGAAAGAACTGTGCCTGGAGAAGTAAAGAAAGGTTTCCAGAAAGTGACTGTGTGCCTATATTTTTATGTGGTGAAAAGAATTTTGCCAAGAGGCAAAGGTTGGAGTAAAGCCTTGCAGGCAGAAGCTAGATTGCTGTGCAAAGGTGTGAAAGTGAAAGTGTTTGGGCAATGGTGAGAGTTTACTGCGATTAGGGCATAGGATGCTTAGGGTGGGAGAAAGAGGAGAGAAATGAAAAATGAAGCAGAAAAGATATGTTGAGGCCGGATTCTGGAAGATTCCTTGTTAAGGAGTTGGGTGTTGTCCTATAGGGGAAGTCATAACACAGGGTGTTACTGATATTGAGAGTAAGCAAACAGATTAGTGAGACAGAGAAGCAAATTGAAAAGCAACTTCCAAAACGTGAATATTGTTGAAGGTAGTACTTCAGGTCAGTGGGAGAGGATGGATTAATTAATAGATGGTGCTGGAATAATTTGTTAATTCTTTGGAAAGAACAATTAAGTTACCAGTTTGAAAAAATATTTTATGCAATACATTTATGTTAAGAATATCAGATTTAGATTTAGAAAATTTTGGTTGAAACTCTTTTATAGCTAAATAGAATCTGATGTTTTGGGTTGTTTTTCTTACCCTAAAACTTTTTTTTTGTAGCATCTGCAGAAAAAGAGGCAATCAAGGGTACATACTCCAAAGTACTGGATGCTTATGGACTCTTAGGTGTTTTACGATTAAATCTTGGTAAGTTTATTATTAAATATAACTTACTTTTTCATTTCTATTTTTGTAATTTTAAGAATTTGAGAGAGACTACCTATGTATGATTTCAGACTCCATGTTGGAGCTATAAGTGTGGTAACATCTTCTAACCCTTAATTAAGCCAATCTTGGGATAATGTTTCCTGCCCAAAAGGGCATGCTCCATGCTCAGGCTCTGGTGATTTTAAGTTCTAGAGACAGCATCCTGTTTGAACACTTTAAGAAACTGGTATCAGTTGTCCAAGGAGAAAATCAGGGCAGTGACCTTTTCCTTTGCTTTAGTGGATTTAGGAAAAGATGTCCGTGGGAACCACACTGATTTCCCTGGTTTATAGTGGAAAGGACATCTATTTTGTGTTCAGAAGGTCTCAGTTTGAGCCTGCCTCTGCCATTTAATTTCACCATGGGCTGCAAAGTAACCTTTGTGATTACCAGTTAGATTATCTATAATGATGTCACCTTGAAGTATGGCCCAAGGACTGGTACCATTCCATGAACTGTTTTGTTATTGGTCTGTGATAAGGAGCTTGCACCATCATGCAAATCAACACATGGCTTCTTCCTTCATTGATAAAGTCTTACTATGGGAAAAAAAAAAATGTCAGCTATACCAAACTGTGAACTTGATGTAGTTGATTCCCATTCTGGAACACACACCTTTTCTCATTGTGAACTGGTGACAGTTCATGGAACATACTTTGAGGAGCACTGGTCCATAAAATGGAGATTTGCCATTTGTTATGAATTTATCACATGTGAAGATATGGGCCTAGGTGTCTAACTAATACTGTCTTAGGTAATCCTCATGGCCCAGAGAGATTTGTTTTAATCCCCTTTCATAAGGGAGGATATCTCAGGTTGTTTTAATCCTATTTCATAAGGGAGAATATCTCAGATGGCTATGTTAACACACTGAAGTTCTTACAGATAATAAGTAGTGGAGCTGATATTCAGGGCCACTTCTGCCTACGTCCAAATCTTTGCTCAAAGTACACCACTGCTGAATTCTACCTTCATACTAATTTCATAGGATTTTTGTCAAAATTAGATGGACTAAATCTCTATGAATTTTTCTAAACTAAATTGCTTTATAAATTGTTACCAGGGACTTTTTGCCCCATTTGGTCATCATCAGCTCATGTTTACATATCATTTCTCCAACTTTACCATTTACAAAGAACTCTTACATTCATTGTCTTATCTGAACTTCCTAACGATCAAACAAATAGAGGAAAGGTAGGGAAGATAACACATGCATTTTTTTATTTGGTAAATTTTGTATAGCCTCATATTAAATAGAGGAACTGTGTCATAAATGTGAGATTATTCTGTTAATGTTTAAATGTTTCGTTATACTAAATGTATGTAAACAAGGATTTTTTTCAACTTTTGCCAAAATCTAGTTATGAACTTAAACGTGTCCCTGATAAGTTTAAAATAACCACAATGTCAGATTTAAAAAGATGGAGACACAGAAGAAAGTTGAAAGGAACTTTGAATAGCTTGAGAAACATTGGGACTTTTCATCCAATTAAATCTTTGTTTTTTGCAGGTGATACTATGTTACATTATCTGGTCCTAGTCACTGGATGTATGTCTGTTGGAAAAATTCAAGAATCTGAAGTTTTCCGAGTTACTTCCACTGAATTTATATCACTACGAATTGATTCTTCAGATGAGGACCGCATTTCAGAAGTGCGAAAAGTTTTGAATTCAGGAAACTTTTATTTTGCATGGTCTGCATCTGGAGTCAGTTTAGATCTGAGTCTTAATGCACACCGTAGCATGCAAGAACACACAACTGATAATAGATTTTTCTGGTGAGTTGTGTTACATTTTTTCCCTTTGTAATCATGTGCTGTGCAGTAGCTTGGTGATTTGGGGCATAGTAGGTTTAATAGTTATTTTTGGAGACACAGGGTTGGGCATTGCTGATTGAGCACACCACTCTTGCCTGCTCCAGAATGCTCTGCAGAGCATAGCAGGCATCCACTCTCAGTTTATTGACGTTGTCCTGTGTCATGAAATCCACTTACTGTCCTTGATCTAGACTGACCTTTCATTTCAAAAATGTATTTAAAATGTTTATTTGAAAATTAGGAATGAATTCGTTGTAAGAGAATTACATTACTCATATTTACTATTCTTAGTTTTGAGATCTTGTCTCTGGCAGTATTGCCTTTCTAAGCCAACGTTCCCTTATCATTTTTAATTTTAAGGTTGTTAAGTAGATGATCTTGGTTTAAGAGCAACAGACTATGGAGTAGTAGTATACTAGGATAAAGTGTAGTATTATAATAAAATAAGGCTTAAGTAGGTAAGTGTGATCTATTTCACGATTGTGCATAAATGTGCTATATTCTAAGTATGCACAAATGGTAAGCAGAACACATGACTAGACTTAGTATTGCTTTATTGGAGCAGACCATATTTCTAGTATAGTTGTTCTCTTGTCCACAATCAGTGTTGGTGTTGACTTTTTTCCTTAATACAATGTACAAATTATGTTTTATTATATTTACATATGTTCTAAGGCCAAAGTCCAGAACTGTCTGCTCTCAGCGTCCCTCAGTAGTTCAGATTCAAGATATTCCCTCGTATATTTTCTCTCCCTCCCAATTGGCCAGCTACGTGTATAACCTTGGAGTAGCACTTTCAGTTCTGACCTTTTTGCCCTGGGTGTCAGAGGGCTCAAGGTCAGCAACAGCGTTAGGCTAGGAAACTAACCTGAGAGCAACAGCTTGGTCACCCTCTAGCTCAGATGGAATTGTCTTGGCCCAGAGTAGTGACATGGGGGAGAAGGGAGGGCAGAATGAAAAAAGGTTGTAGAGCATTGTAGTCAGAAACTTGGAGCCTGGCAAGGGAGTAGACGATGGTGGGGGGCGGGGAGGGGAGGTTGTGATTTGGATGAGTGGATATGGAGTCCTGTCTGCTCATGTCAACCCTACGCTTTTTCTGAGGGAAGAGACATTAACATCCCTGAAAAAGGTAAAGGTGTTGCAGCTGGGCTTAGGGCAACTGTCCTTACCGTTTTTTTCCCTCCTCATTCGTACTCCAGATTCCTTAGCTTGAGAGAGCAAAGCTTTCCTGCCATAATTAGAAGTCCAAGCAGGTGCTGATGCATTGCCTAAATGGTCAGCAATCAAGTGTAATTACTAAGTGTAATCAGTAGGAATAATTCATCTCATTCCATTCAATTAAGGGTGGAAGTAGGGGCAAATTTAGGTACAGATTGAAGGAGTTTATCCAGCAGGAGGCAGATTGAACAAAGGGAAGGCTAAAACACCGCTGGTGAATTTTGCTCAGTTTAAAATTTTGCAATTTTGCTAGGTATTGGCATTCTTTATTTTTTTAATTTATTTTTTTGTTTTATTGAGGTTGTAATAGTTTATAACCTTGTGAAATTTCAGTTGTACATTGTTATTTGTCAGTCACTGTATATAAGTGCCCCTTTACCCCTTGTCTTGTTACTGTTCTCAGAGGATGGCTTTCAGTTTTTCCCAGTTGAGTACAATGTTGGCTGTGGGTCTGTCATATATGGCCTTTGTTATGTTGAGGTAGTTTCCTTCTATATACCTATTTTATTGAGAGTTTTTATTATAAATGGATGTTGGATCTTGTCAAATGCTTTATCTGCATCTATTGAGATGCCATGTGGTTTTTATTCCTCATTTTGTTAATGTGGTGTATCACATTGATTGCTTTGTGAATGTTGAACCATCCCTGCATTCTTGGTATAAATACCACTTGATAATGGTGTATGATCCTTTTAATGGATTGCTGTATTCAGTTTGCCAATATTTTGTTGAGGATTTCTACATCTATGTTCATCAGCGATATTGGCCTGTAATTTTCCTTCGTGTTGTTCTTGTCTAGCTTTGGGATCAAGGTGATGTTGGCCTCATAAAATGTATAAGGAAGTGTTCTGTCTTCTTCAATTTTTTGGAATAGTTTGAGAAGAATAGGTACTAAATCTTCCTTGAATGTTTGGTAGAATTCTCCAGAGAAGCCATCTCGTCCTGGACTTTTATTTTTTGGGAGGTTTTTGATTACTATTTCAGTCTGCTTACTTGTGATTAGTCTATTCAGATTCTCTATTTCTTCTTGGTTCGGTTTTGGGAGGTTGTATGAGTCTAAGAATTTATTCATTTCTTCTAGATTGTCCAGTTTGTTGGCGTATAGTTTTTCATAGTATTCTGTTATAATCCTCTGTGTTGCTGTGGTATCTCTTGTAATTTCTCCTCTTTCAGTTCTAATTTTATTTATTTGAGCCTTCTCTCTTTTTTTCTTAGTCTGGCTAAGGGTTTGTCAATTTTGTTTATCGTCTCAAAGAACTAGTTCTTTGTTTCATTGATCCTTTTTACTGTTTTCTTGGTTTCAATTTAATTTATTTCTGCTCTAATGTTTATTATTTCCCTCCTTCTGCTGACTTTGGGCTTTGTTTCTTCTTCTTCTTTTTATTTTTTTTTTTGAGGAAGATTAGCCCTGAGCTAACTACTGCCAGTCTTCCTCTTTTTGCTGAGGAAGCCTGGCCCTGAGCTAACATCTGTGCCCATCTTCCTCTACTTTATATGTGCGATGCCTACCACAGCATGGCGTGCCAAGCGGTGCCATGTCCACACCCGGGATCCGAACCAGTGAACCCCGGGCCGCTGAGAAGCAGAACGTGTGAACTTAACCGCTGCGGCACCGGGCCGGCTCCCTATTCTTCTTCTTCTAGTCTGTTAGGTGTAGTTTAAGATTGCTTATTTGGGATTTTTCTTGTTTGTTAAGGTGGACCTGTATTGCTATGAATTTCTCTCTTAGGACCACTTTTGCTGCATTCCATATGAGTTAGTATGGTGTATTTTCATTTTCATTTGTCTCCAGGTATTTTTTGATTTCTCCTTTAATTTCTTCAATGATCCATTGGTCGTTCAGTAGCATGTTGTTTAGTCTTCACATATTTGTCACTTTCCCAGATTTTTTCTTTGGTTGATTTCTAGTTTCATATGCTTATGGTTGGAAAAGATGCTTGATATGATTTCAGTCTTCTTAAATTTATTGGGGCTTGCTTTGTTTCCCAACATAGGGTCTGTCTTTGAGAATGTTCCATGGGCACTTCAGAAGAATCTGTATTCTGCTGATTTTGGATGGATCTGTTAAGTCCATCTGGTCTAGTTTTTCATTTAGTTCCACTATTGTTGAATTTCTCTATGGATGATCTATCCATTGATGTAAGTGGGGTGTTAAGATCCCCTACTATTATTGTGTGGCTGTTAATGTCTCCTTTTAGGTCAATTAATAGTTGCTTTATGTACTTTGGTGCTCCTGTATTAGGTGCATATATAAGTGTTATATCCTCTTGGTGGAGTGTCCCTTTTATCATTATAGGCTGACCCTCTTTATCTCTCATTGCCCTTTTTATCTTGAAGTCTACTTTTTCTGATACAAGTATTGCAACACCTGCTTTCTTTTGTTTGCCATTAGCTTGGAGTGTCGTCTTCCATCCCTTCACTCTAAGCCTGTGTTTGTCTTTAGAGCTGAGATGTATTTCCTAGGGGCAGCATATTATTGGGTCTTGTTTTTTAATCCATTCAGCCACTCTGTGTCTTTTGATTGGGAAGTTCAATCCATTAACATTTAGAGTGATTATTGATATATGAGGCCCTATTGCTGCCATTTTATCACTTGTTTTCTGGTTCTATATTTCCCTTGTTTCTTGTCCCATGTGTTTTGGACTGCCAAGGATTGGCATTCTTGAGGTGCACTTTACAAGAAAAATGAAACCTTTTAGAATCTGTTGTGAATACCCTTGCAGTTTAGAAGAAATATTTTCCAGTATGTAGCCAAGTAAGTTTTGTAGCCAGAGAGTGGCCAATACCTATAAAATCCAGGTAGTTTTACTGTGTTAGAGATTTGAAGCTGCTGCTGATTGAGGGTTGTGTATTAAATTTAAATAGAATTAAAACAGCAACACATTGACAGCAAAGAAAAATGAAAACTAACAGCAGAGAGAGAAACTCTTCCTGAACAAATCTATAAGATCATGCTTCTATTTCACTGGGGACAAGTAAGTGTCTTATACCTCTGCCATGACATGAGACTGAGCTGTGGTGTCTGGAAATACTGGATCACAATCGGTTTGAGCTTTGCCTCTGATCAGTGTAGGTAATAGTAAAGTATGGAAGCTTGTGTCCTTGTGTTTTTTAAATAAATAGTGGTCATTGGATTTAACTTTCAGTGGTAATCTCACCACTCATTTATATTCCAGTATGCTTTCTTAAATGGATAAGAAGGGATGGGATTATTGATGCTTTACCAGAACTGCTTATGGCCACCACCTGCTGCCTCTGTCCTAAGGAGGGAGTTGGGGACTATTGCTCTAGCAGTATTGCTGTATATTAATGATATTAATGACCCTGAGGCTTCAAGAAAATTCTGTTACTTTTTTTTTTATACCTTTAAGACAACAAGATAGTGCAGAGCACTTAAGAAAGATTCCCATTTAAAATGGTAGGAGAGTTTTAAAATTCAGAGAACCAAGTTTCACTATTATAGAAACTTCACTTTTGTAAGGCATGCTGTTATCTGAAAGTACCAGATATGAAGTTTTTCTGCACAGTGGTATATTCTCCATGGCGGTAGATTGGTTAGGAGCTTCACATGTGTTCTTTGGAGGACTAAGGTTCTAGTAGAAGCTCCTCAGGAGGCCGTCAGCAGGGTGAGAAGATGGCCGACATGGCAGGACTCCAACCCCTGTCCCTGCTTTAGCCACAGTGACTCTGCTTCTGTCTGTTTTGTAATCATCAGGCTTCTGCTTGGTTGTTTGAATAAAACCTTTCGCCCTGAAAAAGTTTGGAAACCAAGCACCATCTGTTACCTAGAATGCTAAAAGTATTTGGAGCAATGGAAAACTCTAGGCTTGCATTGATACAGTAGCTGCTAGGCCATCTGACTATTTAAATTAATTAAAATAAAGCCTTATAAAAGTCAAGCCTAAAACGTAGAGCTTTATAAAGTGGGGTGGGGATGTTTGTATGAAATCCTTTTTGGAAAAGTTAGGTTGTAATTACCTTATATAAAAGGCAACAGAAATGGGGCGCAGATACTAAAAACATAAGAGATATGCTTCTGTTCTATGGACCATGGATCACATACCTAGAGATCTCATTTGTAGCCCTATCTTCTGATTCCTCGCATAGTAACTGTAAATGAATTGATTTATTTTTGGTGCTGTTTAATTTAATAGCGTTAAAATTAATGTTCCAGGAGCACTGTTTTAACTTGCGCTGTGTTACCTACTGCTCAAGAAGCTAATGCAGTTCTTTCTTTTTCTGCTAGGAATCAGTCTTTGCACCTGCATCTCAAGCACTATGGTGTGAATTGTGATGACTGGTTATTACGCCTCATGTGTGGGGGAGTAGAAATCAGAACAATTTATGCTGCTCATAAACAGGCAAAGGCTTGCCTCATTTCCAGACTAAGCTGTGAACGAGCTGGGACCAGGTTTAACGTCCGGGGAACAAATGATGATGGTCACGTCGCTAATTTTGTAGAAACAGAACAGGTATAGAGTGTTTTGTTTTGCTTAGTTTGTGTAAATGATAGAATAACAGATTTATATTTGATTCAGAACTCACTTGACATTTGTAATGTCATTTTATGGTTGTTCTTGGCTATTTATTGGCCTTAAGAAAAACTTCCCTGAGACAAACTTACTTAGGTATGGCTCTTCAAGTAGGTAACAAGAGTTTACTTATTAGCATGGCATTGTCAGTGCTCTATGTTTTGGTATTGAATTTAAAAATCCTCAATTATAGTTCTAGACAACTTAAGAAAAGAGTTTTTCTGTGAAATTAAATCAAACCCAACTCTTAAAGGTGAATATATGTACCATCTAAAATGAAAAGCTATGATGTTTTTGGCTATGAAACTATACAATTGTAAATTCAGGCCATATCCCCAGCCCAACTCAGTTCTTCAAATTAGTTTTCAAAAAACAGAGAAAGCTAAAGAAAAAATTAAATGAAATATAAAAGTATGTGTGTAAAATATTGAGATGTAAAAGGAATTCCTTTTTAAAAGTTGTGATTCTTATACAATATATTTTTACTATTTTCTTGGTTAATATATAGAGAAGTATCACTAATTGAAAAAATCAAACTTATTTAGTAGCCTATTTTGAATATTTTGTAGGACACTTTGTATGTAAGAGATGGGTCATAAGATATAACTAGTGTGCAACAGATGTTAGTAACTTTGCCTTCTAATGCAAAGGTACCGACTTTGTGGAAATATTTTACATATTGCTTTTCTCTGTAGGTTGTGTACTTAGATGACTCTGTGTCTTCCTTCATACAAATCCGGGGGTCTGTCCCATTGTTCTGGGAGCAACCGGGATTGCAGGTATGTGTTGGACATTGTTTTGTTTTGTTTTTTCTCTTGAATTTCCATATTTTCTAAGCTTTCAGGATAGTTCATTAGTTTATTGAATAGTTCTGTCATTCAATTTAATATTATCTGGATTCACAAATGAGTGTCTAAGTACAGAGTTGCTAGAATTGTCTTAGCTATTTTTCCTTTAATATTCTTTCAAATATCTATAGAAATTCAGCTGCTGTATTTAATATTAAAATTTTGATGTTTTTATAGTGCATTGATTTTCAAAGTGTTTCCATATTTACTATCTCAGTATCTTTGTATATAGCAATTTAATCTCTTTAGGCAGAAGAATATAGTAGTTAAAAAAAAGCTTCTGGAGCTGGCCCCGTGGCCTAGTGGTTTAGTTCGGTGCTCTCTACTTTGGTGGCCCAGGTTCCATTCCCAGGCACAGACCTATACCACTCGTTGGTGGCCATGCTGTGGTGGTGATCCACATACAAACTAGAGGAAGATTGGCACAGATGTTAGCATAGGGTGACTCTTTCTCAAGCAAAAAGAGGAAGATGGGCAACAAATGTTAGCTCAGGGCAAATCTTCCTCAGTGAAAAAAAAAAAACGTCTGAAACGAGACTTCTCAGTTAGCATCCTTACTCTACTACTGCTAGCTGTGTGATCTTGGGCAAGTGATTTAACCTCTCTGTGTCTCAGTTTTCCTATCTGTAAAGTGGGAGTAATAATATTAGTAGTTCCTACTTCATAGGGTTGTTGTAAGGATGAAATGGAAAGTACTGAGAATAGCGTCTGGCACACACAGCCAGCACTGTGTAAGGGTTAGCTACTGTTGTTGTCAATAATATATCTGCTCCTGAAATTTTACTTTGTAATTTGTAGTGCCCTGTCATCTTTACTATGTCCTCTGACTTGCTTTCTGATCTTTTTTTTTAAACTTTCTTGATATAAATATCTGATCATTAAAATATGTTTTTTCAATGTAAGGTCATAATATTAGCTTGCCCATAATCGTATGATTTTGCATTTTATTTTTATTGAAAAATATTTAGTCCCTAAAGTGTAAGTTATTTTCATTTTAGGCTTCTAGTATATTTTGTCTAGTAAATTTTATGCCTCAACCTATACAGTATAGAGAAAATGGACAAAAAATTCTTGCCTCCTTTTAGTTCACAGCTGGATTTCTGATACATTTTAGGATGGTTTTTATTGTGAAGGAAAATTACAGATCACTTGAATCTTTTCAATATTGCAGTTTAAGACAGGCCAGGAATTAACAAGGATTAACACTTATACTGCTTGGTAAAATTCTTGAGTTCTTGTCTATTATTTTGGCTTGTTTAGGTTTTCTTTTTGGCACGTAGGGGTAACTTAAAATAGACTTCTCTCTCCGCACATCTCTCTTGGGGAGGAATCCCAACCCTACTCAACTTCTCCTAAGCTTTCATGGTCAGAGAAGCGGCGTTTGGAATATTTGCTTTAAGAACATTCCTAAAGCCCTGTTTTGATGCAAGGTGAATCCTTTTGCTTTAGAGACAAGCTAGTGTAAGAGATTCTGGTATCTTGTTTATGGGCCCTCTGTTATGCTGCTTTCTGGGTTATTTTGTTAAGAGGTTCAGAATTACAGTGTTTGATTATTCGGTAAGATTGGATCCTGAGTAGTTATATTGAGGGGTCCTCCTGGGTAGGACTTCCTTCCCACTTCCTTCTGCATTGTGTGACCTGCCCACACAGATAGTCTGGCTGGCTAACGTCATATGCTTATGGGCTGAAAACTACAGATTTTGAAACCATGGTAGAGATAGTAATTTTCGAGACATTGAGACAGTCCAACAGTTCTGCTAAATTGTCACTGAACTGACGTATTGTTGGGTTGGGTTGAGCATTGACTCAGCACTTCTCAATTTAGGTAAGTAGTTTTTTTAATTGAAGTATAATTGGCATACAATATTCTAGTAGTTTCAGGTGTATATCATAGTGATTTGATATTTATATACATTATGAAATATTCATCACAATAAGTCTAGTCACCATCTGTCAATTTACAAAGTTATTACAATATTATTTGCTGTATTCCCTATGCTCTACAGTACATCCCCATGACTGACTTTATAACTGCAAGTGTGTACCTCTTAATCTCCTTCACCTACTTTGCCTGCCCACCCCCTACCCCCACCTGTCTACCTCACACTTGTCAGAGTCACTACTATGAAAAAGACAAAAAATAAGTGTTGGTGAGGATGTGGAAAAGAGGGAACCCTCGTACACTGTTGATGAAAATGTAAACTGGTGCAGCCACTATGGAAAACAGTATGGATGTTCCTTAAAAAATTAAAAATAAAACTACCATACGACCCAGCAATTCTACTTCTGGGTATTTATCTGAAGAAAAGGAAAACACTAATTCGAAGAGATATGTGCACCCCTATGTTGATTGTAGCATTATTTGCAATAGCCAAGATATGGAAGCAACCTAAGTATCTATCGATAGATTAATGGATAAAGAATCCACACATACACATAAAGAAAAACACACAGACATACATAAAATGAAATATTACTCAACCATAAAAAGAATGACATCTTGCTATTTATGACAACATGGATGGACCTTGAGGGAATTATGCTAATTGAAGTAAATCAGACAGAGAAAGACAAATACTGTATGATTTCACTTGTATGTGGAATCTGAAAAACAGACTCATAGATACAGGAAACAAACTGGTAGCTTAGTAGTTTTTAAAAACAGCCTTTCTTTGAACAGGAGTGGATTAGTTTCATGAGTCTTTTACAGCAAAACATTTTCTCCATCATTCTAAAAGAGTAGGTGATAGAGGAATGAAAATATTTAATTGATTTAAAAAAACTGAAAAAATAGATACTGATTTTTAAAAATAAAAATACCAAGTCCAAAAATTAATTTTCCCATAGAAGACAAACAGGGGCTTTTGACTTAGAGTGGTTGGAAATGGTGTTAGGTGTTGTGTGTAGTCTTGGGACTGAAATTTATTATAGGGAATCCTTGAAGTTAGTGTTGCCTAGTGAGATGTCCCATTTCAGAAGTCATGGACAGAGAATCTTTAGATAGTTGTCCCTTGACTTGCCTCTTATCCTCCATGATTATTCCTCTGAGGTTTTCTTTTCTTTTCTTTTTTTTTTTAAAGATGGGCACCTGGGCTAACAACTGTTGCCAGTCCTTTTTTTTTTCTTCCTGCTTTATCTCCCCTACCCCCCCTCCCCCCGCCCCGTACACAGTTGTATATCCTAGTTGCAGGTCCTTCTAGTTGTGGGATGTGGGATGCCGCCTCAATGTGGCCTCACGAGCGGTGCCATGTCCGAACCCTGGGCCACCGCAGCGGAGCGCACGAACTTAACCACTGGGCCACGGAGCCGGCCCCATCCTCTGAGGTTTTCAAATTAAAAGATTTTAAAGGAATCATCCGAAGTGATTTTAGAATGCAGATTCATGGCCTTAACTTCTCATAGGCTGAAATAGAATCTCTTGGAATGGGGCCAGGAATCTGCCTTTTTAACCAAGTTCCCTACTACTAAAATTTGAGAATTTCTGTTGTACCAGATCCTACCCTAGTGACCATGAAGTGTTTCCAGCGCCGTCTGCTCCAGTAGCCAGTCCTGAACTACTGTAGCTACAAGTAGCCCTGTGACACTTAGCCCCAGTGTTCTCCTAGCCATTGGGACTTTCCCTTTCTTTGTAGTACCACTGCTGTCATCCCAGTTAAGGTCTTCGTAATTCCTTCTTGCCTGGAATATTCTCCGTTTTCTAACTGGTCCCCTCCTAGCTCCCTGGCAGTTCTTCTCACTTTTGCTGTATTATGCTCATTAGATCTAGGCACCCATTTCATGATCTGGCTTCTTCTACCTGTCCAATTTCATGCCTTGTGATTTTTTAACAGGAATCCACTGTTCCAAAAATGAAGGTCTGTTGTCCTTCACTAGCCACCTCAGATCTCATTGAGTGGATTCAGTCACTCCTCCACACTGATCTCTTTATTAAATACTTAAGTTCTTCGGGTGTCTATTATTCTATGCTAGGTGTATAGTCTTATATACTGTGAGGCATTCAGAGACGCTAGTGATCCTTTAGAGAGAGCTTACAATCTGTTGGGGAGTCAGGCCTTTTATGGAAAAGGTAAATATCAATATGAAGTAGTTTGAGGCATTATAAGAGTTGTCATAAGGTGCTACACAGGTAAGAATAATATTTTAAGTGCAGGCAACTCACGCATTTTCCTTATGATTTCCTTTCCCTGAAGTTATTTAGCATTTATACTTTATAGTATTACTCTGACATTATATTATAGCTTATATTGGTCTTAAAAGATGGTAGTAAGCATCATGAGATCTATGCCTAGTATAGCCTTGCACACTCGATTTTTGGTTGAATTGAAGTTTTAGAAATATGTGAACATGAAGCAATATTGATGAAAAATGATGCTTCATACCACCCAATTAAATGGTTTTTAAAAAATATCTTTGATGTTACCTTATTTGAAATTGGATAAATCTATGATTATCTAAAGCCTTAAGACTTTCTGGAGTGCTGCTTTTATCACAGTTGACCGCTCTTTTATTATAGAATTTTTTTCTTTAATATGGAGTAATAAGACCTAGTCCTAACCAGTGTATTGCTATAAGAGTTAGCATATGTAGCTGGTTGTGTATATGTGTTAAGGAGCATAGCAATGGGGAACAACCACAGCCATTACCTGAAAAACGTGTGAACTTGTGTTTTTTCACCTTCTTGATAGCTGGCAGTACTGTGCAAGGTAAATGTTAATCAATAAAGAAAATGCTAAGTCTTGGACTTTTATACAGTTATAAGAAATTACCTGAGATTACTCCAAATAAAAAGTATCGACTTCTGCTCAGTTTTCTTTAGTCTAAAATGCTTAAAGTCCTGGAGCACCCATCTTGCAAATTTTAAAATTTTATAAACACTATTAAGTAGTATAAAATGAAATTGAATATAGATGTGACATTAGGCTAATCAATTTCTTTCTTTCTTTTTTTTTTTTTGGTGAGGAAGATGCACCCTGATCTAACATCTGTACCCATCTTCCTGTGTTTTATATGTGGGGCGCCTGCCACAGCATGTCTTGATGAGTAGTGCATAGGTCTGTGCCTGGGATCCAAACTGGCGAACCCTGGGCCGCTGAAGTGGAGCCCACAAATTTAACTGCTATGGCACTGGGCTGGCCCCGTCAATTTCTTATTAAAAAGAAAAAAACCTTAAAGAGAGAATCCGCTGGTTATCTGGACAGTTATTAGATTGTGTCACTTATCAGGATAGAGGGGAGACTGCTTAATGACTGATAATACTGTTAAGTCAGTTTTGGAATTGGATGAGCATATTAGAGTTTATTGTCTGGTTTATTTGTCGAACTGCATGACTGATTTGGTAACCCTCCTCCCATGTCCCCTTCGAAGTCACTTTGTTCACAGATTAGCCAGAAGAATTCTGGGGATCTTTCATCTCAAAGTCTCAAGGGAAATGTTTAAAAGTGAAATTCAGGGAAATAATCTGGTTTCACCTTTATATTTCTTCTTGGCATCTGTTGTAGCTTTCTCAATTCTGTCTGATCTTTCTGCCACTTTCCTATAAGAGAAAAGAAAAACTATAACAGAACACTATAGGCAGGTGTTTTCCATCTTGTTTAATTCTCTTAACCCAAATTTTCTTATTTTGCAAAATGTTCCCTAACTATCGTTACCTGACTGGAAGATCGACTTGGAAAGTCTGTTTTTCCAGGAACAGTATTTTTAATTTGTTGGATCTTTAGGTAAGGGAGAAGTGAATAGGATGTTCAGCATAGGGAAACATAGAAAAATATATAGAGACGTTGCACTTGTAGGCAGCTTGGAAGACTAGGAATTTAGATCATGCGAATCTTTTTTGGAATTAATGTTGACCTAAGAAGACAAGTTATTTCATTTGTCTGTATTTCAGTTTTTTTTGCCCAAATGGCAGTAATATCTGTTAACTTACAGAGAACACATACTTTGAGCTTAAAACAAGATAATTTATATGAAAGCACTCTTAAAAATATCTTTCATAAATAAAATTCCTCTTAGCTTACAAGTATTTCATAATGGTGTAACTTCTATTTTTTTTTTTTCGAGATTGCCTTTTGAAAAATAAAGGGGAAGGGAAACCCCTAGAACTTGTTTCTTTTAAAAGAATATCATGAATGAAAATCAGCTATTCGACTTACTGCTGTGTATTCAGCAAATGAATTATTGCATATTATAAACAATGATATTTCTTCTATATGTTGTCTTTTGGTATGATTAAACATATTTTTCTTGTCCTAGGTGGGATCTCATCGTGTCCGTATGTCAAGGGGATTTGAAGCCAATGCACCTGCTTTTGATAGGTAAGACTGATTATTTTTACATAATGCTGTAAGTTTTCATACTGTTAAGCAGTGGGACTAGTTATAATTGTATTTGCTGATTCATTTCAGCTTTTTTGGCTCTAAGTAAAATTTTTTCTGATTCCTAATTTGACTGGAAGACAGTGATGCTAGTGTTACGATTTCTAGGGATGATAGCAATAGGTGTGTAGGTCTTGATCTCTTGGCCTTAAAACTACTGCTCTGGGTGCACTGTCCAGTATGGTTGCCATGAGCCACGTATAGCCCTTCAGCACTTGAAATTGACTAGTCTAAATTGAGGTGTGCTGTAAGTGTAAAATACACACGGAATTTCAAAGACTTAGTACAAAAAAAGCAAAATCTTATTAATATTTATTTTATATATTGATTACATGTTAAAATGATATTTTAACTGCAGTGGGTTAAATAAAATATATGTAAATGAATTTCATCTGTTTTCACTTTTTTTAAATGTACCTTCTAGAAAATTTAAAATAATATCCGTGGCTCATGTTATTTTTCCTTTAGATGGCATTGTGCCATAGCCTCTGAAATGGCTAGAAGCTGGAGAGAAAAATGGCTCATATTTGGGGGCTATTTTTCTTAAGGCTAGAGCTCTTAAGGAGGTCTCTCTGAATGTTCACGGAGTGTGTGATGTCCTCATGTCCTCATGAGGTACAGTTGCCTTCCCAGCCAAGAGGGTGGCTCGTGTTCTCTGTGCTTGTGTAGCACCAGCCTCACAGAGCAGAGAGGGAGCTGGGTGACTGCAGTAGCTCCAGCATAGCTGGGAGTCTTAGCGTTGGTAAGTTAGAGAGGAAACTGCATTAACTGAGTTTTCATGTATTCAGAGTTTCGAGACCATACGGAATGAATTTGCATCCAATTTTATGAATTCTGAGTTTAAAATACTGCCACATAGGTTCTATTTAATAGGGGATTCCTGCTTATTGAAAAGTAATTTTGGCTTATAATTTGACATATGCTTATTTCCTTTCTTTCTTTACTAGGCATTTTAGAACACTTAAGAATTTATATGGTAAACAAATAATAGTAAATTTGCTTGGCTCTAAGGAGGGTGAACATATGCTAAGTAAGGCTTTCCAGGTAAGTATGATCACTTTTTCTTCTGTTCTGGCCCGTGGACACCTAGAATGGTATTAAAAAAATAATGTAACACAATAATCAAATTCTTCCAGGAAGTAAATGACTTCCTAGCAAAAGGTTGGGTACTTGGAACCATTAACTCTTTGGGGCTATTAGGAAATAATTTAGGATAATGTTGCTGAAATTGGGATTATAGAAAGCTTTCATGGCAGTTGACTGTTTTCTAAAATGTGCTTATTTATGTTGTGGAGAAGCAGAAGAATACCCTTCTCCCCAAAAAATGTTCATTTGTCACTGGTAGAAAAATACCAGACAGTTTCCTCCTTCATCTCTTTATTGCTTTGCCTCTTTCCTAGAAACCACAGTCATTGTTTTAGTCTTATGAAATGGTGAATAATGCATTTGTATACCTGCAAGTCTGGATTGTACCCTCTTGTATTGATGAGAGAAAATTTAAGAATTTCAAGTAAAAAAAGAATCCAAAGACATGTCTGACTTCTAAAAAAAAATATTCTTAATAAACGCTTATTGAATCAATAATGAATTAATATAAATCATGGTGTTACGTAAGATTATAAGCAAAATAATTAGAAACAAACAAAATAATTAGAAAACATTTTCTAAAGTTTACTCTAAGTCCAGAAGTAACTTAATTATTTGGGTATTTTCTTTTAATTTTGTGAAATAAATATTGTTAATAAATAGATTATACTTCAGAGAATGGTTTTTTATGGTAAACTTTTAAAACATTTGTATGTATTGAATGGAAGTGTAAAAAATGAGTTTTTCAATCTTTGATAAGCTTTGTCTTAAAAAGAAGTTAATTTATTTTGAGATTCTATAACATATGTAAGCAGTTATTAAATTTGTGTTGTAAAAAATGAAATGCTGGTGATTGGAAATGATGAATGTTATTTAAGTTGCCTCATATTAATTATGTCACTTAATCTCTCAGGGATAATATATGAGTTTTAGGAAGAAGATGCCATTAGATATCAGCAAATAATTTTCCATTTGACTACCAGCGTCGATGAAAGCTTTGTGAGATTAGTAGATTTCAAAGGGCCATGCGAGGTTTTAATTTAAAATGTGAGGTTCTGGGGCCGGCCCCATAGGCAAGTGGTTAAGTTGTGCTCTGCACTTTGGCAGCCCGGGGTTTCACTGATTTAGATCCTGGGTGCAGACATGGCACCACTCATCAGGTTGTGCTGTGGTGGCATCTCACACAGCACAACCAGAGACACTCACAACTAGAATATACAACTATGTACTGGGGGCGCTTTGGGGAGGAGAAGAAGAAGAAAAAAGAAGATTGGCAACAGATGTTAGCTCAGGTGCCAATCTTTAAAAAAATAATAAAATGTAAAGTTCCGTTTATAACATTATATTGATAAGATCATATTTAGTTAACACTTAGGTGAATATTTGCCTTTTTCCTTTCAGAGTCATTTGAAAGCTTCTGAACATGCTGCTGATATCCAGATGGTGAATTTTGACTATCATCAAATGGTTAAAGGAGGAAAGGCAGAAAAATTACATAGTGTTCTTAAACCTCAAGTCCAAAAGTTTCTAGATTATGGATTTTTCTATTTCGATGGAAGTGAAGTTCAAAGGTTTGACTGTTTCTCTTTCTTTAAATTGAAACTTTGCTATAACTTAAAAATTATTCTTCACATTGAACTCTTAAATTTTCTAAAATTGAAGTTTGTAGTTAAAGAAAATATCTTCCTTTATTATACTTGATTATGGGTTTGTTTTCTTTCTTCAGAATTCAACAAGTAATAATACTAGCTTATGTTGTTGGGCATGTCCTGTGGGCCGGGCAGTGTACTTAGTCTCTACATGTATCAATAACAACAATCGTAGGGATAGTGTCTATTGTTATCCCAATTCACATTTGAGGAAATTGAGGCATAGGCTATAATCTGCCCCAAGTCACATAACTGGCAAATGTAGGGCTAACATCCATCTGGCTCCAGACCTCATGCTGTTGTCTCCGAGGCTATGCCACTTCTCTCTTAAAACTAATGTTTTAATATTTCTTGACCTAAGTAAAGACTTAAATGCAGATGGAAGTAAAAGACATTGGTTATCGTCTGCTTTAGGATAATTTAAATCTTCAGTTTTTGCATAGAAATGCAAGAGGAAAGTAAATATTGAAGATTTAAGTTCAGAATAGGTTAAGGTAAACTTTAGTGAACAAAACTCAAGTTGTTAATTTTTTCAATTTGTACAATATTTAGTATCAGTGCCATAGAAATTTTATAGGACAGCAGTAGAGATAACAGATCTTAAGTTTTTAAAATTCATTTCACAAATATTTGATTATGTATGTTTAGTTCTTAACTACTGGCCTAATTAAAAATAGTGAGTGTGGATGAATAGATAGATACCTGGTAAAGACTATATGACAAATGTTAATAATTGCAGAATTGAGATGGTGGATATGTATTCACTGTAAAATTCTTTCATCTTTTTTGTATGTTTGAAATTTGTAATAATAAAAAGTTGAGGGTAGAAAGTGGCTGCTACATTTTAATCACCTTAACTTTTCTCTGTTTATTTTAGCTTTGTTATTTTTGTTTCTAACCAGCTGTTTAACTTTACTGAATTTGTTACAGATGCCAGAGTGGTACAGTCCGAACAAACTGCTTGGATTGTCTCGACAGAACAAATAGTGTGCAGGCATTCCTTGGCTTAGAGGTAAAAAATAAATTAAAATGTGTGGGTATGACTTGCATCCGCTGCCTCTTTCAGTGCTTTTGTAATATTTATGTTTCTCAGTTACTTTCCACAAAATGAAGTTATACTTCATTAAGGGTATTTTGTACTTCTCTTCTAGTCTTTTTTTTTTTTCTGCCAAAATCTATTTTCATTTAAATGTTTCCTTTATCTGTTCTGAATAGTCTCTTTAGGTAGCTATCTATATATTTCACTCTATTGTTCCTTAACCTTCCCTTAAAAAAACTTATACTATCCCAATAATTGCTTCCTTTGCCTGTCTTTTGGAAGAAAATAAGTATATGTTTTTGTATATATTTGGCCTTCATTCTCTGTGTTGTCTTTTAAATGTCCCTTTGGAATTGGGGGGTCTATTTTCACATGCACAGTCCTGTAGGATTATGTTTCTGACGGTCTGTTACCCACTGCACTTTATATGGCATTTTCAAATCAGTAGCTACATAAGACAGGATCAGAAGAGAATGCCGTTGTCAATGAGAATGAAAGTAAATGAGATTCAACTTCTCTAACTCAGTCTTTGTTTAAAAGTTTTTTTCTTTACCACTTATCCATCAAATTTGGTCTAATATTATCTCAACTATGTGACAAACTGTAGCAATGCTGAGCTTTCTGGCTTTCCTATTATGCAACAGTTAGGGTCCTAAGGCTATGGTGGGTCTTCATTTAGTTCCATAGGAACTTAGCATAGTTCTCTAATACTAAAAAGAAAAAAAAAAACAGGAATAGGAAATAACATGTTCTTATCTCCTCTAATTAATGATCTCATATTTGGTCACAATATTGGTTAATTAGTTACTCTGCAGCCGAAGTTCTTTCAGTCTCAAAAGTGAAAGTACAGAATGTAGAATTCTCTGCTGCAGAAATGTATTTTTCAAGTTTACTGTTTTGCCTTTTTTGAAGTCTGTTATTGAGGTTTATCATAATAGATTTGGAAAATATGACAGAGACAAGAAAAGTGAAAGCAGGCAGTTGGCATTTGGATGGAGTTTATCCTGTGGCTCCTGTTTGTTTTGAGTTCTGTTTCTAAGTAACTAACTACATTTACTTAGATTCTGAGGGTAAGCTTATTGAAATACTTGAAAGTCTTTATGAAAGGTAAAACAAGTGTTAGTGTTCAGAATGTAACTTAGCTGCCTATCTGCTTTTGGTAGTTAGGTGTGAGAATACTCCCGAGTATAGCAATTGGTTGACTGGTTACAAAATTTACTAGTAAAGTAGGCAAAACCAAACTAGTAGTAAAGACCAGTTTTCCCCAATTCCTTGAAGAGACAGGCATATAAATGATAAAGGGGATCCTGGGGGCTTATTTTGTTTTGTTCTCCATGCCAACAAAGAACAGCTTTGGTGTAAGTCCCTAGGTAAGCAAAGCCAGTTTAGGGTTTTTTATGTTATTTTGTTTTTTGATCCCTCTGTAATTATGGATAATCTCCATATTTATAGATAAGTTAAGGCAAAACACAAATGGGAGGGAGTTCAGTAAAAATGCAAGGCATAGAATATGACTGGATTCCAAATAAGAGAAATAGACTAAGAATTGTATGTTGCTTTGACTTTGCCAGATTTCAAGGCTAAAATTTGTTCAGAGTAAAGACCAATAACTTTTCTAAACACTTTCGTTGTTATCTATGATGAAGGTATTGTGGTGGCCCAAAGATCTATGACATAAAAAGCTGTCATGACTTTATTCAAAGATATGACTTATTTTTGTGACAGTTCAAGAGCAGCTCTCCTTTTCTCTAAACTTTTGACCTTAATTACCCCAACTTATAGGACCAAATCCAAAAATTAAAGAAACTTAATTATTTCTGTATATGTTTAGATAAACTTGGTAAATATATTTCGTTGCTCTAATACATGTTGAACAATTAGTTCTTTTAGCTGAACAGGTAAACTAGTCTGATTTATAGAGACGTTTCAGTAAGATTAATTTTGTCATTTAACCAGAAAGAAGTTCTTATTACAACAATGTTAAGTTATTTGTAAGTTTCATGGATGGATATTTACTTTAAAAATTGAAATGGTGGGAAATAACAGCCTAGTAAACTTGTGTTTTCAGAATCCAATTCCACATAGTCCTATAACTAGAAATTTTTAATTTGATTCTGGTAGTTCTTAAAAAGTCACAGCACAATTAATGTACTGATATATTTATACAAGTTTCTCTTTTGCTGTTTTAGATGCTTACTAAACAGTTGGAAGCTCTTGGCTTAGCTGAAAAGCCTCAGTTGGTGACTCGCTTTCAAGAGGTTTTTCGGTCAATGTGGTCTGTAAATGGTGATTCAATCAGTAAGATATATGCAGGGACTGGAGCTCTTGAAGGAAAGGCTAAGGTAAATCTCGATCTAGCACAGCATTATAAAGGATCCTCTTTTTCCTCTCTTAATAAAGCTTTTAAATGGTCTCTTTTTTAATTAACAGGGGTTTTTTTAGGTATCTGTTTTTGGTCTCTGTCTTATCATGCTTTTATATTCTCTTTAACACACCCTCTATAGTGCTATTGATGATGGAATGAAAGAGAGAGATTTCCCTAGATGTGAGAGTACGACGTACTTCGTCATTTAGTGGTTATCCATTAGGCCTATATGTATGTTGCGTACATTTTTTGTGTGTAATTTTTCCCTTGCATATCTGTTTTATCTTTTTATGTTGTTTATTTTGATTATAAATATGATGTTTTTTTAACCATAATCCTCCTAGTAAAGGGTCCTATCTCATTTGGTTTGTGTCCCTAGCACTTGACACAGTGCCTCCTGTTTAATAGATGTGTGACTAATGCTGGATGAATGAATAAATCAGTGAACAATTTATGCAACACCTACCATGAACCCAACACTATTAGGGCTTGATTGTTAAGTTTTTATAATTTTACTTACCTTTCCTTGAAAAGGAGGCTATCAAAATGTGCAAAAGAAGTGTGAGAGATGGGCTTATTTATGATTCTATGCCTCATTACCTTTTAATTGCTGCTATTATCTACAGACTACTTTCCACTCTAGTATTTGGCCCTTATTGAGAGACTTCAGAAGCATACTTGAGATTTTTTTCATTATTTTATACACTTAAATATTGGCTTTTTAAGGCTCTTGGCCTCAGTTGAATTTTTTAAATGTCTACAATTCCTCAAATTACATTAGGAATAGAAACAAGAACATTTAGCACTTTTATAGTTCTCATTCAGCCTCTTCAGGATAGCAACTGAAATTCTTTAAAGAGCATTCCTCATCACTGTCTTCTTTTAATTTCCAAATCTTCCTCCTTTTCTGCCTCATAAAATGCCATGCCTCTGTCCAGAGGTGACGGCCTTCCCTGGAGAGTCCCTCTGTTCAACTCATAAAAATAATGTGTACTGAGACTTACAAATATTTAGTTCTTAAATGTTCCCTATTTTTGAAAACCTGAAATTGTTAAACTTTCATTTATTCCTGTTAAATGGAGAACATAATTCTTGCTGTTAAAACCTGATTCTCTTAGAACTATTGCTTAAAATATCATTTTATGTTCCTCTGCTTTTTTGTTTCTGCAGTGAGTAAGACAATATATGTACAGAGCTTACATATATTTTTAGTCTCTTTTATCTCTAACAGATAGATGGGAAATTTTATATATTAAATATGCTAGTCTGAATTGAACTAAAATCTAACGTCTGAACTGCTCTTTCTTTTCCTTTCTCTGGGTTCCTTTTGATTAATTGCCTGATAATGTGAATGGTGAGTGTCTTTTTAAATAATGTCATTTGTGTATGGTATCATGCAGGAGGAAATATTTTAAGCCTCAAATTACTGTTATTTCTTTAAGGGATAAAAAGTGCATGTTGCAAACTAAAGTTTTTTTCAAAAGGTGAGAGTTGTTTGGTTTTTTTTCAACAGTCATCTAAATCTGTAAGATCAAAATAAATCTTTATGGTAACTAACATGCCTAAGTAAAATATATGTTCATTAAAAGTTGTAATCAGCTCTCCACTGTAGGAATTGGCATAAGTTTATTATTCTTATTATATATATTTAAGTGGGCAATAAAAAGACCTAAAATATGCGAACTGTAGTTTACATGTAATATTTATTTATGAACTGTAGTTATAAATTTCTTTTTAGACTAGACTTTCATTCTTATGTTCAGTTTTAGTTTTAACTAATATAAGTTATTTGGGAACAATTTCAATTTTATTTTTCTACTATTAAATTATTTTGGAGTTTAGAGCATGTATGTACAGTGTGTCTCTTTTATCTCCCCTGTTTCTCCCCACCCTTCCCATCCCCAAGTCTAAAAGCTATGATGTAAGAAATAATTTCCTTGTTTTAAATAAGCACATTTAAATGAACAGTGCCCAAGGTGTCACTGTTTCTCTTCCTCTTTGGGATAACGGCTCTGCACAAAGAGATGGAAAAGCTCGGTGCCACAACTGCACCCACTAATGATACCTGGGCAGTAAATGTTTAAAACTGTTTACTATTTTAAAAATGAAATTTAGAATGAGAGTCCATGCTCCCTTTCTTCAACAGGCCGGAAAGTTAAAAGATGGTGCTCGTTCTGTTACCCGAACGATTCAGAATAACTTCTTTGACAGCTCCAAGCAAGAGGCCATTGATGTTTTGCTGTTGGGAAATACTCTAAATAGTGATTTGGCTGACAAAGCTCGAGCACTTTTGACTACTGGAAGTTTGCGTGGTATGCATACTTAACTTTATGTTTTACTTTCTTTCTTTCTCTATATTTCTTCTAAAAGTTGAAGAGGTAAATTAGGCTTATTTACATAAATAATTTTTAGATTGAGTTGATTAAAACAGTTTTGGAAGGAATTTCTATGAATGTAATTTTTAAAAATTTCATTCTCCAAAGGAAGTTTATCATTTTTAAAATGTTTATATCATCAGTGGTATTATTAAGCCATAAACTGAGGCCCATGCGTGTTTTCTTTTTTAGATTATGATGGAGAGCATGAATGGTTTAAGTATTGCTAACTTTATGTAAGGCAGAATTTCGTAGAATATTCAGCTAGTACTTTTAGTAGAGCATTCAATAACATAGTTATGTAAAAAACAAAAGCTTTATTGAAAAAACCAATACCTATATTGTTGGTTTTGCTAATCACCACCCCCAAAGTTTATATAACTTGGTCTTACCTTTTAATTGCTATTGTTTGAATGAGCATTAAATCATATTAATTTAAAATAGTGTTTATTATTGGACACTAATTATTACTCCCAATTTTAATATTTGACATAAATAGTTGGCTTTCAGGATGGCCTTTTATCTTTCAGTATGTTTTTTATTAAAATCAAAAGAATTTGAGCTCATGTCAATGAGTAATATCATGAGAAAACTCAACATTCATTGTAGAAATTAATAAATTAGGCTTCCTTAATTCCATATTTTTCTATTTTAACTTTTCAGCAGTCTGAACATTTTTATTTCTTCTATCATCTCCAAACTAAACCTTTAGTTTTCCCTGTTCAAGTAGACAAGTTCAAGTAGAAAATTGTTTCTCATCAAGTAATGTGCTCTTGGATAATTGCTTGGTCAAATAGGTTACCATGGATTCTTGCAGAATTCTGCATGGTGCTGAAGGTAGTTAATTACAGTCAGCTCCTCAGGGATCTGTAAGTAGGCTGAGGAGCTGAGACCTACTAAAGCTGTAAAAAACAAAATCTGATCTCAGCTACTGCTTTTATTCAGGTTTTCTTCCTGGCTTCCAACAGTGGAGACTTGACTGATTTCCATCTTATCAGCTCTTTCCACTTGTACCTTCTTTAGTTAATAAGCAACATTGAAAGTAAGCAATTGAACGACAGAAAAGAAGTGAAGGACCTGATTCCCGTACTTGATCATCAGGGTTTTAGTTTCTTACACATTTTACTATATGTAAAATATGCCTTTTAAAAAAAGTACAGTCAGTTCTGCTATAATGCTTGTTCTGAGAATGGGAATTTGTTCCAACATGGATGCTATATTAGGGAACATTTTGAGTGTAATGCTAATTCTACATTAGTTTATGCATGATTTCACCAGCAGTAACGCTATGTAAATGCAGAAAACTGCACCCAGCAGAACTGAGATGGGTAGAAATATACAAAACACACATACACACATGTGCGCACCTCAAACATCACTTTCCCTCAGTTCACCAGCTGTGTTATGAGCCATACCCATCCACTTCTGATGTTCCAGCTTTCTGTCCAATATCAGAGAACCCTTCTTCCGTCATTCACAGTTACTCCTGATGCCCATTTCTGCAAGCAAACTTCAGTTCTTTTTCAAGATGAAGCGCCATATTTTAAGGAGTATTCATCCATTTCTTAACCATTTAACACATGTAAAACTCTGCTACTGTCTTATTAGGTTCCTGTCTTTTGGCCTGTCACTGCCGAAGTTTTTGAGTGTTGGGCCCTAACTCCATTTTCCCCATAAGCCCTGTGGCTGTGGGAATTTGAACCATTTTGTATAGCATGGTGGTTTTTTTGGGAATGCATGTGTTTGATGGTGTTATAACTGAATTGATTGTACTTTTCAACTGGTGAGTCCCAGAAAGAATACCGTAAGGTATATATTAGGGCAGTGTCTTTCATATGTTCAATCCAGCCTGTAAGGTTTTCAGATTTATATTCTCCCTCACATGTATGTGCACATGCTCACACATACACATATACACGTACAGGAACAGCGTGAAAAGCAGGTGTAGAACCTTCTGTTGTGAAACTCGGGACATCGCTGAGTCACTGTAGGATTTTTCTAGACACAGAGGGTTTGTGTCAGTTATCATTTATTCTTAATCTTTGGTATCCTACAGCCATCTGAAAAAATAAAGTCATCAAATTGACTTAAAAGGAAAAAGTGAGTCTCCATCTCAGAATGTTTTGTCATAACACTCTAGATGTTAACTGTAACTTTCTGTTGTACTAATGATTCTTTGTTTTCTTCTTGATGCTATCCGTAGTTTCTGAACAGACGTTACAGTCAGGTACAGTATAGAAAATCAATCTATAAATAAAAGCAACTTTTCCTCTATTTTTCTAAAGTTGATATTGTAAATAAATGAAGCCATAAGTAAATGGAAACTTTCTCTGTTTTGCCCTCAGGTTCTAATAGGATAAATTGATAGCTTGTTTTAATCTAAGAAACGTATTTAAGTTTGAGAAAACTAAGTACTTCATTTAGTCAGAAATATGTGGTGCTCTCCGTCTTCATGTAGCAAATGCTTAATTCCAATTAAATATAGGTCATCTAGTTTTAATTTTACTTTATATTTCATTGAACAAATATTATTAGTGTTATACCGTACTCTTAATAGGCTAGTGGAAAAAACCCAGATGCGACTATTTTTATTTTGGATTAATTTTAGAGTACTATCTGTGATATTTATGACGACTCAGCAGTGTTTCTCACACATAATATTTGAAAAGGCATTGACTCATTTCCTTATATTGTGGATGAAATATTTCCTGTAACTGTAAGACCTGCACTAAAATACTATCTGAAATCTTTTAAAAAGCATTAAATTGCTAACAAAATTAGAAAAGTTGTGTATAAGACTAAAGGTCATTATTTTTCTTCCCTTTCCTATTCATAGGAATCTCATGCTTTCATTCTCTGAATAAGATTTATGATCTTGTCTTTAAACATGAATCTATGCCAAAAGGAACAAAAGTTAAACTCTTGCCAGAAATTTAGCCAAAAAAGACAAATTTTCTTCCTTTCACTTAAGATTTGGTATCACTTAAGATTTGTTTTGCTTAGTTATTGTTCTGAATGTTTTGAGAAACTATTGGTTATTTTTTTTGAGAAGGATGGAGGAAGAGAGCACTTGGATATATTTTTGAGTTTTACAAAGAAACTCCATTTTCTGAAGTGATAGGCTATTTAGGGATGGATATCTGTTTGAACATCGACTCATTTCTTTCTGCACATTAAGATGCCAACCAATTAAGAATAAACTAGGAATTTTTTTAACTTTTTATTCCATTTATAGACTGAGTTTATTAGTTCACACCACATGGCAACATGTTTTTGTTCACACAATTCATTGTTTGTCTTGCTGAACATTTTAAGCTGTTAAATCATTATAGAACTTGTGTTTTGATATAGAAAGAATTTCAGAAGCAGTTTTCCTTGTAGTAACATTGGCAATGACTTCACTTATAAAGACCATGATAAACCACAGTAATAGAGAATGATGCTTTATCCAGGTACAGCCAGTTTTCAATTAACCATACTGGCAGGCCAGAATGTATAATCTGCTTTCATTATCACCAACACCTCTGTACAAGGAATTAAATCAAATAGCAGAGGGCTAGAAATCCGCATGTCTGCTCTGGGAACAATGTGGATATACTTATCAACTAAATCAGCAGTTCTTTCAGGGGATTCACAGATCAAAACTATTTTCATAGTAATTCTAAGATGTTATTTGCCTTTTTCACTCTCATTCTCTCACAAGACTGCTGTATATCTTGGTATCATAAAATAAATATCGTAATAAAATAAGATCATGTGGTAAAAGGTGAGAATCATTTTGATTTCCTTTTCCTCTTAGCAGTTAACTGCCAACTAAGTGTACATTGTTTGGTTTTTAGATTAAGGTCCTGTTAAAGTTCTATCTACTTTAACGTGCTGGGAATTTAATTTTACCAAAATAAAATGTGGTTTAGAAGGAAGAAAATAGGTAGTAGTTAAAAAATATGCAGGAAAGAGATTGAAGATTTAGAATGTATTGAGCACTCATTCATTTAACGATTATTTATTGAGCACTTACTATGTACCAGGCACTCTTCTAGTCACTAGGGATGGTGCAGTTAACAAAATAAACCAACATTTCTGCCCTCATGGAGCATCCGTTCTTGTGAGGGGAGACAGATAGTTACAGGATAAATAAATAAAATACATAGTTTATAAGTGGTGATAAATGCTATAGAGAAAAATAAAGGAAGGGGAGGGAATATTGAAGGTTAGGAACAGAATGCAGTTTTAAATAAGGTGGTCAGGGAAAGCCTCGCTGTAAAGTAAAGACTGGAAGGAGGTGAGGGAAGAGTGTTACAGGTAGTGGAAACAGCCAGTACAAAGGCCCTGTGGTGGGAACAGGCCTGGCATCTTTTTGAAACAGCAGGGAGTCCAGTGGCTGAGCAGTGAGTGAACAGGGAAGGGGCAGCAGATGAGGGCAGAAAGGCAAGGCAAGTTGTTTAGGGCCTTGTAGACCACTGTTAAAGGCTTTGGCTTCTGCTCTGAGTGAGATGAGAAGCATTTAGAAGTGACTTCATTGTCTAACATCTCATTATTGTCTGTAATTTACGTTTTTGTCAGGAAGCCATTACTCATCAAACCACCTGCCAATAGCTAGAATTTTAAATGGAAGTGTTCTTAAATGTTTTTGTTTGGGGAGAAATAAAATTTATATTTTTACCAGCCCCGAATGAAAGTTGTATGAAAGTCAATTGTTATATTCCAAAAAATGTACAGTCTCTAATTTTGTACATTATAAAATAATACCATTACATTGAAACAGAACCATTTTTCTGCATGTTTTATGTTGCTGCAATAATTTTGTCATAGCTCTTTTACTTTGGTTATTGTATTTAATGTGGTTGATTTTATTTTAATTGTGTTGCTTAATTGCATTGTGCTGGGCTTTGTGTTCAAGGCTGATCTCTTTTTGTGCCTGTGCATGTGTCTTATGTTTGTGCTTAGGATGATGATAGTACTTTCCAGGCATCATTTCTCAGCTGTGAAAATAAGTTTTTATAAGTGGTTTAATGCAGCTAAAATTCTGTTGTATTTTGTTTTTGATTAGCATCTTCTAAAGTACTAAAGAGCATGTGTGAGAATTTCTACAAGTATTCCAAGCCCAAGAAAATTCGAGTGTGTGTTGGAACCTGGAATGTGAACGGTGGGAAGCAGTTTCGCAGTATAGCTTTTAAGAATCAGACACTCACTGACTGGCTTCTTGATGCACCCAAGTTAGCTGGCATCCTGGAGTTTCAAGGTTGGCTGTTTATAATATGGAACTTATTAATCCTGACTGATTTATTAATGTAGAAAACAAATGCAGCACTTCACAATATGCATTACTTTATAAAAGAAACTTATATTTATAAAGTTGAAAGGCCAACATTTTTATAGATGAAATTTATTAAAATCTTATCTCTTTTTTATTCCTAGACTTTTATTTTCTATTTTGTAAGAAGACATAACGGTAAAATAAAAAATGTTTTTCTTTGATATTTGAGTCTCAGGAAATCGGATCCATGCATAAATAGATATCTTTAAAAGGTAACCACACGTGTAAGAAAGACTAGTTCTGTTTTTATTCTTTGAAACTGACACAAAACAAGCTTATTTTATAATTGATGATTTTTCAAACCTAGTATGTCCCATTTTTCAAATCTAGTCCTCTATTTAGTTACTAAGATAAGAAATATTCAGAGTGGCTCATGAGCAGTCTTACAATTTTTGTGACATTCGTTGGCACTTTATAACTTAACAGTACTGATTTATCCTTGTAAAAACTTGGTTTTCATTCAGTTTGGGTACTCTGCCACCAAGCTCCTAATAGCCAGAACCAAACGTTAAGCTGAGGATGCTTTTATTAAGATTTTTATTAGAATCATGAATCTGAGACCTTCTTTTTTTAAGTCAACTTTAATTCCTTTTTAAAATGGTACACATTTAACAAGTATTATATGTGAAAGTGATGTTCATATGAAATAATGTGAGATACATATTTCGCTTTTTTAATTATCTTTAATCAGTCATGTCTTAAACCCTGGGATTGTCCCCAAACTTATTTTAAAATGCCCCTTTCCGCTTACGTTGAACCTGATTGAGGCTGCAGTTCTGGTAGTAGCAATAATAATAATAACAGCTAACACTACACTTCTGAGTACTTTACTTCTGTTCGTTTAAGCCTTGCAACAGACCTACTACACAGGCACTATTACTATTCCAGTTTCACAGGTGAGGAGACTGAGAGACAATAAGGGAAGTAACCTGCCAGGTAGCGGCAAGCGGTTAGCAGTGGCAGGGCTGGGATTTGAACTCAGGCAGTTTGGTTTCAGAGTCATTGTGCCACACTGCATTTTATGTCTCAACTTGGGCAAGTTGCTTACGCTCTCAAAAGCCTCAGTTTTTTTCTGTCTGTAAATAAAAGGCAAAAATAATCTGTCTCACATAAGATGTTTGTGTGGTAAATGAGAGGATGCATGTGTAAGTCTTGCACATAATAGCAGTCAATAAATATTTTTATTTTTTTATTTCTTAGTATTAGTTCGTAGTATTTATAGGCTCTAGCTATTTATCCTCATTTCTGAATACTTGGGCCACCCAAAGTACCCCTGGGCTGCTTGTCTCAAGCAGCTTCTGTTCTCTTTTAGTCCTTGTCAGCCATGAGAGAGCTGATGGCTGGAACAGAGACGTATGTCTTAACCCCTGAATCTCTTCCAGTTCTCCTGGATTTCTTCTACCCAGGAAATAGCAAAAGGATCGAGCCTGAGGTTTTCAAATTTGAATGTGAAAAATCCCCCCTAACTGTTATCTCTAATTCGAGATGGTTTCTCAACCACTTTATTGTTTGTGCCTTTTCTGAAGAATTCCTTTACCTCTCCAATTTTGGTTCACCTTAGCCTTTGAGAAGTGGCTTGTTTCTCTGCTGTCCACAGTACAGACTTTAGCAAGAGTTCTGAGAAGTGATTTCTGGAAGGACTTAAGGGTCTTCAAGAATAACAGTCTTAAAGAAGCAGAGTTAAGACACCTGAATAGAAAGCAAAGTAAATTAAAGTGAATTACTGTAAAGTACTTTTGTCCCGCTCATGGGTTTTTGCCTTTAATTTGAATTTGGTTAAACTTAAAACACAAAAATGGACTTTTATGAAATCTAGTGTTGATCTTAGTTGTATTGTGAGGGAGCTGCCATTTGACTAAAGCTATATTTCAGAAGTCTTTCTTGGATGCTTAATTGTAGATAAAAGAAGTAAGCCAACTGATATATTTGCAATTGGTTTTGAAGAAATGGTAGAGTTGAATGCTGGAAACATTGTGAATGCAAGGTAAGCCAGCAGGGTAACACATGGGAAAATTTCTAGGTGAGGGACACGGAGGGCAGATAACTAAATAGATGGTACAGGAGAGATTGAGATAATGCATTTAATGCTGTTTTTAAACTGTAAGATAGCAGATCTCAGACTTTTTGGTTTCAAGATTTTCTACACTCTTGAAAATACTGAAAATCTTAACTTTTATTTATGTGGGTTATATCTCTTGATATTTACCACATTAGAAATTAAAAATGAAACTTTAAAACCATTTAATTCATTTAAAAATAACAATAACAAGAGGCTGGCCCGGTGGCACAGCAGTTAAGTTCATGCACTGTGCTTCAGCAGCCTGGAGTTCGCCGGTTTGGATCCCTGGCGTGGACCTAGCATTGCTTATCAAGCCATGCTGTGGCAGGCATCTCACATATGAAATAGAGGAAGATGGGTGCAGATGTTAGCTCAGAGCCAGTCTTCCTCAAAAAATAAGTAAATAAATAACAATAACAAGCCCATTATGTGTTAATATAAATAGCACATTTTTTTTTCTGAGAAGTAACTATTTTCCAAAGCAAAAATTTACTGAGAAGGATGACATTGTTTTGTAGTTTTGCACATCTCTTTAATATCTGGCTTAAGACAACTGGATTCTCACATCTACCGCGTCAGTGTGTTGCAATATGTTTTGGTTGAAGTATATAAGGAAAATCACATAAATATGTAGTTGGAAATGGAAATTTTAATAGCTTTTTCAGGTCATTACTTCTCTGATGCTATACCAAAACTCAACAGATAGTAGTTTGTTAAAGGTTAGTTGCAATGTGGAATCTGAAACCATAGCAATGAACTTGTGCTCTATTATACTAAAATTCTTTGGTTTGTCTTTTACCCTTGCATGATTTTGAAACATGTACTGGTCTTTTGGAAAATATTAATTCACTAAGTTATGTAGATCTTCCAAATTTTGACACATTTCATTATATAATATCAAAACATCATATTGGTTAATATCATCACTGATCTTATCAGATTCTTCAAGTATTTGGAAGCTGTCCAGATAACAGTAGCAGATACAGGTTTTCCAGAATTCTCATTTTTGCTTGAAAACTCAAATTTTATCATTGGAAATAAGTACTATTGGTTGTTTCCTTTGAAAAGATAGGCTCAGTTGAAAAAAATGTTTGCCAAATAACCTAAATTTGAATAACTGTAGTCTGTCATTAGTTCTTTCAAGTAAAAATTGTATTCCATGAAAAAAGTGGCAGTTCGGCTCTCAACTCAAACCATCAAATGCTTCTCCTTGAAACAACCATTCTGTGTGCATTCAGTATGCAGCAGGAGGGCTTTGTCTGTATTTCCATTCATCACACAGGATATTCAAAAGATGTGACCCAAGGACTGAGCTTTGTTAAAATTAATAATGTTTGCTTCTTCGTCAAGGATATTCTTAGGTGAAGTGGCTTTTTTTCACGGCAAGTGCATGGCAGCGAAGGTGATAATGAATACTAGTACAGTTTGGCGCCTGGATTCATGCTGAGGCATCAACACTTTTACTCACTGTTTCTGCACCATCAGTGCAAATGTCAGTCAACACAGTGAAAAAGGCAAACTATCTTTATACTACTATAAAGATAGTTTTGACCTCATGGGTTTTGGGGACCCTCAGGGATGTTCCCAGACCGCACTATGAGAACTGCTACTCTGAAGCCTTCTTACAAATACCATATTTGTATTTGAGTGAAATGTAAAGCTTAAGTGTTTTATTTTAAGAAAATATGCTTGCTTTTAAAGTTGAGCAGTTGCCTGCCTATCCTTTGCGACATTTTTAAAGATTTTCAGAATAAAATTGTGGACTGAAATCGTATGGTATAGTCATCAATCTTGCAAATGACAATTTTTTTCTTAGTCAAAGTGAATAACAATTCATACAGGGAAGTAGAAAAGAAACCCAACTTTATTCATTTTGCTGTTTGAATATCTCTTCAGATATTAAAGTAGAACATACTCTTAGGTTTCCTAGTACCAAACAAATTGGTCAGTTGTTTGTCTAAATAAAGTTTAATCAAATTATTCTTTAATAAAGTGATGATTATTCATTTATTTAACCAATATCTATTGAGCACCTACCCAAGCTGCTAGAGATACATCAGTGAATGAAACAGACAAAATCCCTACCTGCATGGACCTTCTATTCTAGTGGAAGAGACAGACGATAAACAGTAGCTATAATACATAAATCATATAGCATGTTAGAACATGGTAAGTGCAATGGAAGATAGAGAGATAGAGGTAAAGGGATCAGGCATGTGGAGGTGGGAAGGTGAGCGCAGTTTTGAATGGAAAGATCAGGGTAGGGTTCATTGAGAAGTGTATTGAAGAAAGAGATGAAAGCTGCCATTCTCTTTTCAGAACCCAAGTTGTAGTGGTGGGGTCATGGTAGTTGGGAATCCATGTTCTGAATTTGTGTTTTGGAGGCAGTGTCACATAGTGTTGCAGATTAGGTTGGACGTGAGGTCACATTCTGGCTTACCACTTATCATTTGTGTGACCTGGAACAATGAGAAAAACTTTTTTGCTTGCCATTGGAGGTTCCTGGGTACAACCTTGTTAAGCTGAAAGTTTATAAAGAGAAAGACTTAAGCATTTATCCTGCCTTCTTTTTCTATGAACTGTGTTTTGTAGTAATGGAGTAGTTAAGAGAACAGTTCTTTATAGAAGAATTCCAACTTATTACAAATGCCTATGGAATGCTGAAATTACAAAATCAACATTTTGCAACCCCTAAGGAAGTATTGGATGTTGTCAATGAAAAACAGATGCTAAAACTTTAGAAGGATTAATGGGGGAACTTTTTATTATAAAGAGTTGATTAGATTGTCTTGGTCTGAATAGCTGAGCAGGTGTCACATCACGAATTGTGTACTTTTGCTGTGATGCAAGGGTGGCATCACCTATGAGTTTATTTTTGCCAAAAGAAAGAAAGAAAATTGAATGTGGTTTCTTTTTTTCTTAAAGATCGGCACCTGAGCTAACAACTGTTGCCAATCTTTTTTTTTTTTTCTCCTTCTTTATCTCCCCAAACCCCCCCGTACATAGCTGTATATCTTAGTTGCAGGTCCTTCTAGTTGTGGGATGTGGGACCCAACCTCAACATGGCCTGACAAGCGGTGCCATGTCCGCGCCCAGGATCTGAACCCTGGGCCGCTGCAGCGGAGTGCGCGAACTTAACCACTCGGTCACGGAGCCGGCCCCTGAATGTGTTTTTTAATCAGGCTTTCACATTAATTAGTTTAAAGCGAATAAGAGAGAGGAACTAGTTAGGATACCATGAAGACACATCAGCCAAATTCAGACTTGAACATTTTACAGACAAATGGTCCAGCTTCTTAAAAAATAAATAGCGTAGGGGCTGGCCCCGTGGCTGGGTGGTTAAGTTCGCGTACTCCGCTTCGGCGGCCCAGGGTTTCGCTGGTTCAGATCCTGGGCGCGGACATGGCACCACTTGTCAGGCCACACTGAGGCAGCATCCCATATGCCACAGCTAGAAGGACCCACAACTAAAATATACAACTATGTACTGGGAGGATTTGGGGGGGAAAAAGGCGTTAAAAAGGGAGTGAGGTGGGAGGATTGAGATACTATTAAAGATTAAGAGAGATTCGAGAGACATAACAATCAAATGCAATTTGTGGGCCTTATTTGGACCCTATTTTAAAGAAACCAACCATGAGAAGACATTTTTTAGATAATCAGGGAAATTTAAATATGAACTGAGTATTACAAGATGTTAAGGAATTGTTAATATTTAAATGTGATAATGGCACTGTGATTATGTAAAAATAAAAATGTTCTGTTGTATTAGAGATGCATACTAAAGTATGGATGCGTGAAATGGCATGTGTCTTAGATTTAGTTAAAAATATTCCAGGTTTATAAGAAGAAAAGTGAAGGGGAATGGAAGAAAGAATATTGGCAAATTGTTGATAATTGTTGAAGCTGGTTAATGGGTATATGGTGATTTATTTTATAATTATCTCTTTTTTGTGTATGTTTAAAATTTTCCATAATAATTTTTTAAGATATTAATTATAATCCAGAAAAGTAAGAAAATGGGGGAAAATGTATCTGGAAGCATGTGCTTCTCTGTTACCCTAATAAATACTTAAGGAAAGAGTAAAGTGTACAAACTTGAGATGACTCACATGGTGAGCACTCATTTAATGAGTAAGCTGGTATTTTCTTTGTAAGGGAGTAATAGATTAGACTTGGAAGTGCAATGTTCTTACGGCTAAGTTTTGAGTTTTCCTTTTTAAAGGAAGCGAAAAACAGTCTCCGTGAAGATTTCGCTTTTGATGTGGATTTCATGACTGTCATTAGTCTTATTAAATTTGGGTATATAAAGATATAATTGACAATTGTCTTATAAAATAGGCTATATTGTCCATATCTTTTTAAAGATTTCCTTTTTAACGTTTTCTGGTAGCACAACGAATCAGAAGCTCTGGGCTGTGGAGCTTCAGAAGACTATCTCCAGAGACAACAAGTATGTGCTGCTGGCTTCTGAGCAGTTGGTGGGCGTCTGTCTGTTTGTTTTTATCAGACCACAACATGCTCCTTTCATCAGGTCAGTAAACAGCACTCCCCTAAGGCTGCTTCCTATCATCAGATAACAAGAAAAAGGCCCAGAATGTTTGTTGCTTCAGAGAAACACTTATTCATGGTTCTTGTTTTTAAATGTGTTTTTGATTACAGCGTGACTAATAACTTTCACTGTACTATTTCACAGGCTTGCCCTCAAAGTGCCACAGGATGTGTAGTTTTATTATTATGTAATATGCATTCCTGATTTCTTATGCACATGGAACTGTTGAGATTTCAGATGTTTGATTTAGAATTCTTTCTTTTAAAGGGATGTTGCAGTTGATACTGTGAAGACAGGAATGGGAGGTGCAACTGGAAATAAGGGAGCAGTTGCAATACGGATGCTATTCCATACAACAAGCCTTTGCTTCGTCTGTAGCCACTTTGCTGCAGGGCAATCACAAGTCAGAGAAAGAAATGAAGATTTTGTAGAAATAGCACGAAAATTGAGTTTTCCGATGGTAAGCTCTTGCCTCTTGTTCTTAGAGATGAACATATTTTAATATTTGAAACATATTTTAATTTACCCCCTATTCTATATCAGTTTTTGAAAATTTAAGATAGTTCTTAGAAACATCAACAGTATTTACCTAAAATAGATATTTCATGTGTTATTACTGTTGGGTTAAATAAATAAGGCATGGCCGGGGGTGGCAAGCATATCTGACATAAAGAAAAAGTTGTAAAACATTTTCAAAATTGGTTGTTTTGAACTTAAAATTCCATCTCCTTTCTTCCAGGGAAGGATGCTATTTTCACATGACTATGTGTTTTGGTGTGGTGATTTCAACTATCGAATCGATCTCCCTAATGAAGAAGTTAAAGAGCTTATAAGACAGCAAAACTGGGATTCTCTTATAGCAGGAGACCAACTTATCAATCAGAAAAATGCTGGGCAGGTATATATATACTTAAGAAGATATTTGCATTGAGAAGAATAGGATCTTTGGTAATGAAACAAGCTTTTCTTAATCATAGTGTTGCTTTTTTTTTAATCTCTTGGAGTTTCTTTATACTTAATAAATATATAGTTTAACAGACATAAGATTACTTTTTCTTTAAAAAAAGGAGAAGGAGAACGCATAATAATTCCCAGGAGGAAAAATATATTATGTCTCTGTAAGATTCACTCTCAAGTAAAAGAATATATATTTTTGTTTTTTTCAGTAATAGTAAATTTAGAATCCTAATCTTCAAGGCTACTCTTTTTCTACTTCAAGATGCTATGGTAATTTGCTTTTTTTTTTCTTTTCTTCTCATGTCATCTGCCTTTTTGAAACTAATTCTTAAAATTTATGACCACAAAATTTTGGAAGAATTTGCTTAAAAACAATTTTCTTAAAGTAGAGGTGATCACGGCCACTTGGTCTGGTGCCTTTGTGATCATCAGACTTAAATTCTAACACTTTGGGCACCACTTAACCTTTTTAGGCCCAGGTCCTCATTTGAGAATAAGACGTCAGACTGTATGATTTCCAAAATCCCTTACAGTTCTTGCTGTCTGTTATCCAGCTCAAAGGACTGGTGGGATTTCCTCATTTATGTTTTTGTATTTTGTTTAGTTGAAAGTCAAACAAGTGGCATGAAAAATGCCACATCTTAGGTTATTTTTTCTTAAGCTTTGTAACATTCAGATAGAAGTGCACATCAGATGCACACAGATTTCATCTGAGAGGCTCCAGCACATAATAGACATTTAGGGAATGGCTGCCTGAATGAAAACAACCTTTTTGCCTTTTTGAAAAACTTACTATGTATATGTTTATTGTAGATTTTTAGAGGATTTTTAGAAGGAAAAGTAACCTTTGCTCCGACATATAAATATGACCTGTTTTCTGACGACTATGACACCAGTGAAAAGTGCCGCACCCCTGCATGGACAGACCGCATCCTCTGGAGGAGAAGGAAGTGGCCCTTTGATAGATCAGGTTGGGAAATGGACTTCTTCATTTAAATGAGTTAGTGCAAATTTTATGCGGAAGAAGGAAATGGTATAAATATCAAATAAGAAGAGGCTATTTTCGACAAAGCTTATCTAGAATAGAATAAATAAAATTTGCATATACAGTCATGCATCGCTTAATGGCGGGGATACGTTCTGAGACATGCATCATTAGGCGATTCCATCTTGCAAATATCATGGCATGTACTTGCACAAACCTAGATGCTATAGCTACACACCTAGGCTATATGGTACTGATCTTATGAGACCACCATTGTGTGTGCAGGTCATAGTTGACCGAAACATCGTTATGTGGCTCGTGATTGTGAAACAGACTTTTAGAAATATTCTCAGACCTGCTTATAGTAATTTATTTAATTTTTCAGTCTGTTTTCTTTCAGTGACATAGTTGCACGGAAGAGAAGCAAAGAAATATTTTAATGAAATTTTCAATTGAATGCTAATTAATTAAGGTTTTTAACCTGAATAACTAAAGTGATTGGCAGATACCATGAACTGCTACTTGTCTGTCAAATTATTTATGAAAGACTATTTGGTCAAAGGCCTTTAAGTAATCTCAGAAGTAGAGCCTCATCTTAATTTTTTGCTAAATAAAGCATAAAATGATAACTTCACCAAAAAAACCTTTCTAACTTAAAGGTGTCTAGACTTCCTGCCGATTGGCAAGTCTATCTGGCATCTCAGCCTCAAACAGCTGAAGCTTGTGAAACCAAGGAGATAGGTCCTTGCTCCCTATGATGTGTCAGCTCATGTGGCCTCTCTTGTATTTTGTTTTATTCTGACTGCAGCTGAAGATTTAGATCTTCTAAATGCTAGTTTTCAAGATGGAAGCAAAATCCTCTACACGTGGACTCCTGGCACTCTGCTGCACTACGGAAGAGCTGAGCTGAAGACTTCTGACCATAGGTTTAAATAGCCTCACTGTTTCTAATGGTGCTTGAAATTCATTTGAAATCCGTCCTTTCTTAAACGTTTCTAACATGTCTGTCTTCCTTTATGCCTTAAGGCCTGTCGTTGCCATGATTGATATAGATATATTTGAAGTTGAAGCTGAAGAGAGGCAAAACATTTATAAAGAAGTAATTGCAGTTCAGGGTCCACCAGATGGTACAGTATTGGTCTCAATCAAAAGTTCTTTACCAGAAAATAATTTTTTCGATGATGCTTTGATTGATGAGCTTCTGCAGCAGTTTACAAATTTTGGTGAAGTTATACTCATAAGGTGAGTAAAATATTTCTTGTCCAAAAGCAGCTGACAATTCATAGATAATATTTTCTGTATTTGAAATCACCTTGTTTAGTGTTTGAATAGTATATGAGTATTTGTATTTCCAAACTGCAGTCGTGCACCACATAACGATGTTTCAGTCAGCAATGGGCCATGTGTACGACGGTGGTCCCATAAGATTAGTACCGTATAGCACAGCTGTGTAGTAGGTTATAGCATCTAGGTTTGTCTAAGTGTGCTCTATGATGTTCGCACGATGAAATCGCCTAACTCCGCATTTCCTAGAACGTATCCCCATCATTAAGCGATGCATGGCTATATAGGAAAATCATATAGAAATCTTATTTAAAGAGCTCATAGGTTTTGAAACTGAATTCTCTACTTAGAAAGTTTAAAGCTGAGTAGTGAAACTTTATATAAACAATTGATGACAAAAATATGTGCACAGTGGGGCCGGCCCGGTGGCACAGGGGTTAAGTGCGTACATTCTGCTTCAGTGGCCCAGGGTTTGCTGGTTTGGATCCTGGGTGCGAACATGGCACTGCTTGGCACGCCATGCTGTGGTAGGCATCCCACATATAAAGTAGAGGAAGATGGGCACGGATGTTAGCTCAGGGCCAGCCTTCCTCAGCAAAAAGAGGAGGACTGGCAGCAGATGCTAGCTCAGGGCTAATCTTCCTCAAAAAAAAAAAAAGAAAATTATGTGCACATTTAGATGTGATCTCTTAAGATTCCTATACGATATATAACGAAGCACTATGGCAAAATAAAGCTGTGATTGCTATTTTATTTTTTTAAGGAGAGATAGGAGTTAAGGGGAGTAACTTTTACCACTTAGTTTAAGAAATTTGATGTTTTAAGAAATTTTAAGTACGTTTAATTTCCAGCTAGAGGGGAAGCAGCACTGCCAGATAAACAGTCAGGAGTCATCCATGCAATCTTGATTTCCATCATTGACTTACCATCTGCCTTTTGCAGAACCAGATGCCTCTTTCCTTGTTTAAAAAATGTTCTCTTCCAAATGTATGTTAATTTTGAGAGGTTGTATGACATGTGTGTGTTTGAATTCCATAGGGAAGGGGTACTATTAAATTCCTTTCTGTGCTGTTTCTCCTTATTTAGATGTGTTTTATAGATATTTGGTGGACAAATCTGTATACTAGGTGCTATGGAAGAGCAGAGAAGAAATTGAAGACACTACTCCTGCTTGTAATCTAGTTGCGCAGATCAGCCTGTGTGTGAAATGGCTTCCCTAGATCCTAACCAGAATAGTCTGCAGAGTAGAGCTCACATGGTTTCTGTAGAGTGAGAAGCATGCCTAAGAAGCCTAGCATCCTGTCAGAGAGCAAGTGAGCAAATAGAGAAGAAATTGTATTTATACTTCCCTCAAATCTTTTGACAACGATCTACCCCAAAGCTTTAAAATTTAACAAACCATTTCTAGAATCTTAAGGCTCTAGGAAGTACATAGTGAAATCTCCAGGTTTACAGATGACAGTAAGCTTTGCCAAACGCAGAAATGCCAAAGCACCAGGAACATCACGTGGACCGTGCGAGTGGGCACAGAGCAGCAAAGTATCCCCTTATGAGCAAATGTAAAATATTGCAGTGGACTAGAGAGAGTCCAAAATGTACATAGGGGATGGAAGACTGATGCAGGAAAAGGACCTGTCTGTTTTCACAACCCAGTCTCTAAAGAGCTTGGTGTTCAGTTGGAGCGCAAAACTGTCCTCAGAATACTTGGCGTCGTTAGAAAAAGTATTGGTAACAAAACAAAGCGTTACTCTAGCAGTATGAAACCTGGAATATTCTGGTTGTTACACTTTAAGACAACCATGTCAGAATAGAAAAAGCAGACAATGAAAGAAAAACAAGGAAAGGACTGCTGTCACCAGTAAGGCTAAACTGATGATTACCTTTGGGTCTAGAGTGAGGCGACGATTAAGGAGTGCCTGAAGTCTGTAAAGCCCTTTCTATATAAAATGAGCGTCCCTGGAAATGTAGATGGGACAAATTTAGATACTTATATTAATTGGGGGAAAAGTCTAGAGGCTTTTACTCTAGTGAGTGAGAACAGGAAGAAAATACAGCTTCTAGAAGGACCTACATAAATCCTTGGAAATTAGAACCACAGTGTCCTATTAAAGTTAGAAATGTGTAAGGGGCACATTGCTAATTAGGGATAGGACCAAGAAATTAGCCCTGCCGTATGACCACAAATGCTGTGGTACTGCCATCGAAGAATAACGTTTGGGGTTGGAGGGACTGGCGCAGCATCAGTGCAGTCTTATAGTAGTCATTATACCCTTTGGAGGAGGGATATTCTCCATTGCCATCAACTTGAAAAAGATGCCCTTTGTAGTATTTAGGTAAGAATGATGTCCCTGTGTCTTTCAAATGATGGCATCTTGCAACTTAGTAACTTTATGCCAGAGAAATTGAGTCATTTACCTTGGTCACGTTGGAGTGATTGTAGAAATCTGTTCCAGGCTTTTGATTTAAATAGGATAAAGTACTTGTTTTTATCCTTTTCCTCTTAATATTCATAATCCATACTTTTGAATCCTGGGGGGGGGGGGGGCAGTGTGTGTGTGTACATATTGTCCCCTCTCTCATGTTTGAAAAGTCTTCAGGGATTTCTGAACTGGATTTGTACAGTTGAGTTCAACTCTAAAATTGTTTCTCTCAATCAGACATAACATGATTTGTTTCATTCCTTTTTGTGTGATAACATTATTACATATCTGTGACCATCTTCTTCAGAACTTGTTCTAATGTCCTTTTTAATTTTTCCTTTTGAGAGTTTCTTATTTCAAAATTATAAACTTAGAATCATAGGAAAAGCCAGTGAAGTTCCAAGACAATAAATGACTGTTAATGAATAAAGACAGCAAGCATAACCTAACGTTCCTTGAGGCTAATCTGATGTGTGTGTGTGTGTGTGTATATATATATATATATATATTTTTTTTTTTTTTTTAATGACAACTCACTATCTTTTTTCTTGGTCAAAGGAAATTTGCTTCAGGGAGGTCATTGAGACAGTAAAAATACGTAGTACTGGACTATGGGGTCAGGTGACTTGGATTCTAGCCTTGTAACTTATTCCCTTTATAGGGTCACTTTGAACAGGCTACTTAAGTTCTGGCCCTTTTTTTCTTTGTCAGTGAAATGAAGGGTTGGATTATCAGGGATCACGAATGGAGGTCCACAGCCCATTTCTTCTGGTGGCCTGTTGTATTAGCATAGTATTTGAAAGACATTTGGGTTTGAATGCGTTTTGGGGAAGAATGCCCCCAGCAGCTCACCCCTGGCCCTACTGCTCTCCCTGTTTTGTTTTTTTACTTCCAGACCTCTAGAGGCCCTTGTTAATCAATAATCATTGGACTAGTCATTGAGCTAGTTCTGGCTAAGGTATTAATTATGTTTTTTTATTGTTTGTTTTTCTTATTTTTGAAGATTTGTAGAAGATAAAATGTGGGTTACATTTTTGGAGGGAAGCTCTGCCTTGAGTGTTCTGAACCTAAACGGTAAAGAGGTAAGGTCGCATTTGTTGATTCCGAACCATTCTGAAATTAGATGTCTGATGATTATATTTTTATAGATGTGCAGCAAGATTATCCAAGTGTGTTTTTAGTTCAGGAGGATAAAAGACCTTATGGTGTGCTTTAATGTTTATTATTTAGACTAGGTTTCTGACCATTTTAGGATTATTTTGATCCCTCCCTAGAGATATTAACCTTTGATAGAAACAGAAGAAAACATGTTTACCACCTAATGTGATTTTTATTATATTTTGTTATATAAAAACTTTTAAAATTTTAATTGGGTTAGATAGTCTGGGTCATCTATATAGTAGAAAAGATTTCTATCAAGTGAAGAAAATGCTTTATTTACAAGAAAACAAGGGAGGAAGGTGCTCATTGTTCATAGGAACTTGTTTTATTGGCTTGGATTGTGATACCCAGGTACCTTTTTCAAACGTAGGTAAAGTAATTCCCATAGATAACAAATCCATGCCATTGAGGCATTTTAGAAATTTTTAATTAGTGGAGATATTCCTAGCCTGTGATTTGAAAATGTCATTGATGGGGGAATTTACATCAATGACCTCAAATAGTTTTACTTGTGAAGTGCTGTTTGTCAGTTTTTTCTGAATGCTTTTAGACAGGTCTTAAATTTTTAAGTGTATGGTCCCTAGGCAGGATAGACTAAACTCTAAGCTAATTTCTCCAACAGTGGGCAACTCTATAAGTATTTCTCTGAGCTTCCTCTTCTGTCACCTTACTTTAACCTCCTTGGAGAAAAAAATTTCCATGCATTTCAGTCATGCCTCGCTTAACCATAGGATAAGAAATGCCTTGTTAGGCAATTTTGTCCTTGCGCAAACATCATTAAGAGTGTACTTCCACAAACCTGGATGCTATAGCCTACTACACACTGAGGCTCTGTTGTACTTATCTTATAGGACCACCTTCATATATGTGGTCTGTCTTTGACCGAAACGTCAGTATGTGACGCACGACTGTGTTGCTTTTGAAATAGGTTTTGTAGGGTTTTCTTTGGTTTTCCTGAATGTAATAGGAATGCACTAATGCAAAAGTAAATCAAATACAGAAACGTAAAATGAAATAAATCATAAAGACCACTTAATCCTACCATTATGAAATAATTTCTCTTAAACTTCATATATGCATATATATAAATACAAATGAGACTATATATACACATATATACATATTAACATAAGTGGGATATACATATACACACACACATACATGCACAAATGCAAATAGGATCATGTTATAAATGCTGTTTTCTCACTACATCTTTACTTGAGGCTATACTGTGGACATCTTTCTATATAAACAAATGTGTAATTTTTAATGGCTGTACAAATTTTAGTTATGTAGATAAATATATAAATTTAACCAAACTCCTATTAATTTTTCCAGCTTTTAATTATTAAAAGCAGCATTCCAGGGAATCCCTGCGTAGTTATAACTTTGCATGCCTCTCCTATTAGTTCTCAGGATAAACTCCTAAGTGTAAATTTGTGTTGTCAAAGAATATAAACGTATTAAATTTTGATGCTTGTTGCCTAATTGCTCTTCAGAAAGGATTTATCTAGTTTTATTATGCCTTGGATTATTTAGTATCTAACATCCTCATCCATACTGGATATTTTTTAACTTTGATAATCTGAAAAACTGGAAGTAGTATGGTGTTCCTGTTTTAAGATTTTGGTTGTTAGGTTTTTTTGTTTATTGGTTGCTTGTACTTGTCTAACTAGCTGTTTAGTCTTTAGCCCTTTTTTCGACTGGGCTGTTCCTCTTTTGAAGCTCCTTTTACGTTCAAAGTGTTGACCCCTTTCGTATGTGCCGCAGATCATCTTCCCAGTGTGTCTTGTGACGTTGCTGTCTCCACCAGATAGAAACTGGTTTTTAAATTGAATTCTAGTTTTGCTCTCTTAAAAAGCTCTTCTTCATCCCGTGATGATATAAGTATTTAAGAGCAACTCTCAATTTGGCATTCTTTGTCAGCTCTTATTTGCTTTCTGAGTATTTCTTTTATCTTTCCCTGATAATTTTCCTTGTTTCGTTTTTTCCCCCCTTCTTTTCAGCTCTGTTGCTCACCCTCAAGTCTGGTCATCTGTGTTAATGCTCTTAGAGAGTACCTACCCCTTAGTTTCCTTAAAAGATTTTCAAAATTTTGTAAAAATTAGGTTTGTGGCAAGTGTATAATAATATTTAATTTATCCTTTTGAAAGTGGGATATTTCCAAATCTCTAGTCTATTACCTTTGTTAGTACCATTATTTCAGCCTGAAATCTTCTAGGATGCATGTAGATCAATAAGAGCTCTTCCATTTCAGGGGAGAATCTGGAAAAAGGATATAGCTTAAGCAGGGCAACCTTAAAGAATGACCTTCTTGAGCTTTTTTTTTTTTGGTGAGGGAGACGGGCCCTGAGCTAACATCTGTTGCCTGTCTTCCTCTTTTTGCTTGAGGAAGATTGTGGCTGAGCTAACATCTGTGCCAGTCCTCCTCTATTTTATGTAGGACGTCACCACAGCATGGCTTGATGAGCAGTGCTAGGTCTGCAACCCAGGATTCGAACCTGTGAACCCTGGGCCAGCAAAGTGGAGCATGCAAGCTTAACCACTACATCACTGGCCTGCCCCATTGAGCAGTTTTTTTCTGTCATCTAAACTTCTTTCTTTTCATTTGGCTCTGATCTCTGCTAAGTAGATTTTCCTAAGAAAGTGTCTTTTAAATGGTCATTATGGTGATCAGCCTTAAGAATACTTGTTAGTATTCTTTGGTGAATATATAAAGAAGGTCGTTGACCTTAAAAAGTGACAAATGACCTATAGAGCCTGTTGCCAGGTTCTGAAATTGGATTGATTGGGTCTGATAAGCAAGTAAAGGATTATTACTTCTTAGGACTCTTAGAGCTCAGTGTGCATGCTAAATTACTGTCAAACACGGCCATGCCATTGAGGCCAGCAGCTCTCTACCTCCCCATCCTATGCCTTCAAGGAATTCTAATGTCATTGGCACTTTGGGCCAAGGAATATGTGTACCCGCAAAGGTGCTAGCTGTCATCACAGTATGTTGGTCACAGCTACACAGTTCGTTTGGAAATACCAGAAAAGTTCACATACTATATATAGTCCAGGCACTCTTCAAACAAAGGAAGTTGAAACTATGTAGGAGAGAGCTTACATTTTAGAAAGCAGGTTTGTTAGTGGGTATGAGTTGTAAATGAGAACATCGTTCTAATGCACAGTCTGTGTTTGACCAAGGAGTCTTGTGGCTATCTGCAAGTTTTTGGAAGTTTTTTTTTATTATATCAGTAGGACAATGTAACTTGATTATAAGGTATTGGTTATTTTAGATTATGCTTTTGTCTAAAAGCACTCAAGTTTATAGGAAAGGCAAAGTGCCAGTTTCATAGACACCAGTCATTCTATTTTTAGAATGATTACCTTTTGTTGAAGATGTAAATGGTCTTAAATACTCTCAATATTCTTCTGACAGTTGAAATGCTGAAACTCCCTTGATAGTATAGCAACTTTCAAGACCACTACACCAAGTTAAGAAGGTCCACATGAAGAGGAGAAGTATTTTAAAGCTGTTCTACTGTCTCTTCTGTAGTTGTTTCTTGGAGGAACAGTTATTTAATCTGTGGATCAAAATCAAAGGAAATATAAAATTATGTAGCAAAGTTGTCAGTGAATTTACATCTGACCAAGGAAAGATACTGGCTGCCGCAAAGAAAAGTTGAATCTGTGTGCATCTTAGAGAAGAAGACCTTAGATTTAGCAACATAGGCTTTTGAAGGGAGAATTGGGGACGTTTTAAACTAGTAGTTAAAAATTCAGTACATATAAAACAGTTATGTTGAATTGAGTCTAGCTAAATTACCCTGCACTGCTGCATGGGATAATTAAGGCAATCACTTTATTCCAAGGTAGTTAATTTTCATGCCAATGAATTTTTATTTTGTGTCTGTTTTACTCAACTAGTTACTGGGGCGGACTATAACTATTACTTTAAAAAGTCCAGACTGGATCAAAAATTTGGAAGAAGAAATGAGTTTAGAGAAAATGAGCGTTCCATTGCCATCATCAACCAGCTCTACCCTGCTTGGTGAAGATGCAGAAGTTGCGGCCGATTTCGATATGGAAGGTTTGTTTATTGGACACATTTGCTGCTGTACTTCTAGATAAGTTTCTTTCCCATCAGTAAAGTCTTAGTCTCCACAATGGTCCTTCTCTTTCTTCTTGTAACACACAGAGCAGGAATAATTAGATTTTGTTTTGCATTATATTGTGTTTATTTTGTTGGGACCTAGACTTCAAGGGCAGTTGCATTCTGCCATTCAAAGAGTAAGATCCTTACAAATGTTAGTTTATATTCTTGAGTGGTGAGAGCACAAATTGGTATTTTTGATGTGTGGTTTGGTCCTGCTAATTGCAATTAAGGTAGAAAAGTAGAGATTCAAAGTGGGTATTCTAACAGCAGAAATCGGTTTAAAATAATTACTACAAAAGAGGATATATTTCCAAGTAGTTTAAAAAGAATCTCAAAGTGGCTGGGAACACATGCATTTGAAACTAAACCCACCCATCTAAATGTGATCATTTTGAGTTTAGAATTTGGAACAGGTTATCTGGATATAATAACTTCCTTAAATGGGATTAAGAAATGTGTTTGCTTTCTAATGCTGCATGCTATGTTATTGTAGCATATTTTCCTTTAAAATGTATACCTTAGTTTATAAAATGATAGAACATCATATTGTGATATCCTGTACATCTAAATAATGTCTTTCAGATTTGAGCACCTTACTAGGATTATCTCCCGTTTTCACATTTCTCTGTTCATTTGGTTGCTTTGTCCACATTTATGTAGTGCATTTTATGTGCCAGGTACGTGCTAGGTGCTGGAAATTCAAAAGGTGTCATCCTTGCCCTCCCAGAACTCACAGCTTAGTGGGTGTTACACATAAGTAAGCAGGCAGTTATAATCAAGTGACATAATAGCAATAATGAATGATCCTGGGGTAGTTCATGGGAGAGTTGCCTAACTTAGATTTGGAAAGTTGAGAAAGGCTTCCCAGAGGAAATGAAATTTAAGTTGAGAATCTGAAGACTGAGTGGGTGTTAGATTAAAGAAGGTAGACAGGGGTGAACCAGGAAGAAGGAATGTGCAGGGGCCCAAGGGGAAAAGAGGATCTAAGTTGATTATGCAGGTATGCTTGTGAGGCAGTAAATGAAGAAAAAAGAATGCTGGAAGAGGATCAGGCGTGGGGTGGAAGATGAATTTGTTTTTGAATATGTTGAATTTGAGGTGTCTGTGGAGTCTGTCAGGCCCAGATGGAGGCTATGGTTTTGTGGGCCTGGTGCTCAGCAGAGAGCTCTTGGTTCACAAGGCAGCCCTAATGGCAGTTGAAGCCATGGATATGTATTAGCTTGGCCCAAAGCATTACATAGAGATTGGAGAGAGCTGGTCCTGGGATGGAGTACAGAGAAACACAGACTTTAAGGATAGGCAGAGGAAGTCTGCCCATAAAAGGAAAATGAGAAAAAAACCACTAGAAATGTCACAGAGCCAAGAAAATATAGTGACTTAAAAATCAAGGAAAGAAATGGTAACAAGGAAGTAGTCGTCGCTGAAGTCCTGTGTCACAGAGGGATGAGGAGAAACGAGGACTGCAACTTGCCCTTTGGGTTTAATATCAGGGAAGGGGGCTGTTGGTGACATTCATGAGAGTGATTTCATTGGAGTGATGAAGCCAGATGGTGGTAAATTGAGGTGTGGATAGAAGGTGAAGAAGTGGAGAGAGTGTCTCTAGACAACTCTTTAAAGAAGTGAGACAGGGAAAAGAGGAAGGAAGGCAGTTGCTCCAGGGAGACTGGGGATCTAGGGAGTGTTGTTTTGAAATGGGAGACGCTTGAGAATGCCCAGTGCTGATGGAATGGCTGATGATATCAGGGCGGGGCAGGGCAAAATGAGTGATAGAGCAAGGTCACCGAGAACGTGGTGTGGGCAGAACCCCATTTGTTCCTCTACAAATATGGGCGTGCCAGCCAAGTGATTAGACTCCAGCATGGGGGCAGGTGGTTGAAGGGGGCTTCCCATCTTACAATTTCTCTTTTTTCTGTGTAGTTTAAGAGTTGAGGTTATCTGCAGGAGTAGGGCAACCCACAGGTGCAGGAGAGTTGAGAACGTTCGAGATAAAGTTCCTGAGAAAGGGAGTAAGGAGGAGAGTGAACCAGGAAATTATGGAATTTCCTGGCAGCTTTGGGAACCCAGAAGAGGCTGAAAACCACAAATTTAATGTGACTGCCATCATCAGGACCGTGTGGTTTTCTCCAGCAGCAGCGCTCAGCAGCCCAAGCGCAGTTATGGAGAGATTAAATGGTGGAATTGATGCAGGGGTGATGGAAGAATAGCGCAGGAGGGGAATAGCTGAGGTGAAGAACAGTAGAATCTGAAGACCACGTGCAGAGAAGCAAAATTCGGTGGGGTAAGAGTAGTGGGAAGAGAGGACTGGATCCTGATGAAGTCAGAAGAGGAAAGAGTAACTGAGGGAGAGAGCCGGAAGGCTGGGAGGTGGTGGTCAGAAAGAAGCGTTCTGAGTTTATTAGTTCAGAGGCAGTGCAGTTCTGAGGGCTGTAGTGTTTGGAGTGGAGGTGAGAGTCAGTGAGGATAAGAGCGAAGCATTTAGGTTGTTGATGGGTTGTCCACACGGACTTTGATGCCACCCAGAAAGATGGTTATGGGTTGCCATCTTGCTCTCTGCTTAGTGCTCGATGAATGGGTTCAAGTGCCTGGAAGGGTGGAGGTTGGAGATCATGGCATCAAGGGAGTATAGAGGGTGTTATGTAAATTCCTGATGGCACAGCCTCAAAGAAATAGGCCTTTTTATTCAGGGTTGGAATATTAATCGTCTAGAATTGGAATTAGGTTGCAAGGGGCACCTTTACCCCACTTTCCAGCCCTGAGAAAAGTGGAGATGAGGAGACCTTAGGGGAGAACAAATTCCCCCCTATTCAATTAAAGTATGGAAGGTATGAAGAGACTCTCCGGGAAGGGTGTGTGGCTGTTCGAGAGCCTGTCTGCTGAGCTGAGGGCGGGGAGGAGGGCACAGTCCACAGAGCAAGTAAGAAAGTTTGGAGGGAGAGCAGTGAACTTGAGTCAGCCGGCACCGAGATAGCTGCTCAGTGGAGCATTGGAAGCCCTCGAATCAGCCCAGCTCCACATGTGAGTCATCACTGGCCTCCTGTTGTGCTGAGAGGGTAGACTCTCTTTAATTATATTTTCTCTAAGAGCATTTGTACTAATTCTAGCTTTATACATATAAATTTATATTTGCCCACATGCTTAATCTATGCATCTTTGCGGTGTCATAATGTTAACATGTTTATTTTCTGTATTTCAACACCTTAAAACCTAGATTGATGAACAACATTTCTGAGAAATTAAAATGGTGGTAACGTTGATAACCTTGCGTTTCCTCAGGCGACGTTGATGACTATAGTGCTGAAGTAGAGGAGATTCTTCCTCAGCATCTCCAGCCGTCTTCAAGTTCTGGCCTTGGCACTTCCCCAAGCTCTTCACCGCGGACCAGTCCCTGCCAGTCACCTACAATCTCAGAGGCTCCTGTACCTTCCCTTCCCATAAGACCGAGTCGAGCACCGTCAAGAACTCCTGGGCACCCAACGTCGCAAAGTGTGTATTTTATTTAAAGTTTTGTATGCCTTTCCCAGCTGATATGTTTGATTTCAGCTGGTCAAGTCTCTGATTCCTTTGGAGAGCCATTTTTGTTTAACTTTCATACACATATGCTAACATGTACTGTGCGTTCTGTTCATACAAAAGAAGAAACTTTGTAGATGGTGAGACCTAAATGGAAAGGAAACTCATCATGATTGTCACTAGATGAGAATTTTTCTTAAACCTTTTTCTATGTGGTCAGCTTTGTCCATGTCTTATAATTGATGATTTTCTATCATTATAGTTAGAGCCGATAACTATTCAGGCTTCACTATATATCTGTACATTACCTGTATTACACTATGGAGCAAGAGGGACAGAACAGATTTTTTTAATTCAAATTTATATTCATTACTCCTCCAAAGTTGGAAGATTTGTCTCTGGAAGTTGTTACATTACATGATTGTCACTATTCCATGTTAACCAACATCTTCAGAAAACATCTTCCATTTCATAAACTTCTCTAGTTCTCTCATACCACTCTTAGAGGACTGGCTTCGTTAAATAAATTCAAGATAAGCTGAGGTATCAAGAAAAGAAGAGACTCCTTTTTCTTTCTTTTCTCTCTACTTGCCAGCAGATTTCAAATGACTTACAGAATACTTTGTGCCATCTTGATAGGCCCGCTCGGTAAATCACCTTCACCACTTGGGACCTAGCTAAGAAGTCCATATAGAGCTAGCATTATTGCTTCCATGGTACCGAAGAGTAATGTAATGGCAGAACTGCATATGTTATTGATACTAAAAATGCATGTCAATACGCTATGGTACAAATTTAGAAAATTAGCAAAATAGAGACTTGGTCATAGATGTATAGGAAGTACTGTACCTTTGTGCTCATACCCACTTGGAAACTGATCTTCTTACTTAAGGTACTTTTTCAGGTTCTCCTGTTGACACCCTGCAAGCAACACAGCCACAGCAGAAGGATTCTTCCCAGACCCTGGAGCCCAAGCGGCCGCCGCCTCCCCGCCCGGTTGCTCCTCCGGCACGGCCAGCTCCCCCACAGAGACCGCCTCCACCTTCAGGTAATGGCCCATTTTATTTCCAAGTCCTCCTCCACGCTATTTAGAGATGTTTTTCATGTTTTCAAACTTCTAGCTTCTAGATTTTATTGTCTTTCTATCATTGTTGCCTCTTCATCAGCTGTTCTCTAAAGAATGTGGTAGGCGTGACAGAACAGGTAAAAAGATTGTTTCCTGACTTGATTTCTGTAGTGTGTTTTCAGAGCTGACTCGTATAAGTGTGCAAGAAGTGTTTGTTTTGTTTTTACTAATTTGATGTAGTAGTGCTAATTTCTGTAAAATGTATAATTAGAACTGAAGAACATACTTACTGTGAAGTTTTATGTATCTGTTTAAATGTTCTTTTTAAATAAGTATAGTGTCATTACTTAAATTGTTAGAAGTATTTGCATTAAATAATAGCTTCTTTATAGTACCAAGGTTCTAATACGTAGTTCCTACATGATATTTCACATCGTGAATACTGTAGTAAATCTTTGACCTTTCAACTCTTTTTAATGTCATTTCCTTTCTGCTGCATATTTTCTTACGAACTATAAGGGTCTAGGAGTCCTGCACCTTCTAGAAAAGAATTTGGAGGTAACGTTTATGTTTGTTATAATGCGTGCATCTGGGTTCATTATGTTTTGGAGTTTGATCCCTATGACTGAAAGTCAAAATGAATGACATTTATACTCCTGGTTAAAAATAGCTCCAAACTTCCATTACATTCCTGTTAAGTAAAAGATTGGAGCTTAGTTTTATTAGTGAATGGAACTGAGGGCTTCCATTTCCCAGATAGACATAGTTGAATTATTCATCAGGGCTTGATATACTTTTTCTTAATAAATGTAGTCAATTTAGTTACAAAGATTTCCCAAAAATCATATTAATTTCAAAAGGAATTCAGGTACAGTGAATATAGAACATTTCCCAAGTATTTGATAGTATTAGAGCTCTAGTACGTTCCTTTTCTAGTAGCTTGTGGATTAGCAAAATTTCCTAGGAATGCAATTTAAAGTTATAATAATTATCTGAAATATATCTTCATTTTGCATGGCTTTATCATAATTTGTCATAAAACTGATGCTTCATTTTTTAAAATGTAAGAGCAATTTTCTTTTATTTTTTCAATAAGAAAATTCTTATTAACAAATGGAGCACTTTTTGTTTGGTTTATTTGGTTTACATGAAAACTTCTCACAAAGCTCAGTTGGAGGTGTAAGTTTGACAAGCTCATTTAGTCTAATTCTCAAGGAAGGATGAGGCAGGTTGTCACAGTTCCGAAGAGGAGCTTTGACAAATCCAGTTTTAATATTATTAAGGCTTACTGTACATGTGTAGTTGGTCTATTTCTAGTCTAGCTGCCTAATGACATTGCTGACCAATTCACATGTTATTAAGATTGACTTTGCTTGTGTGTATATTTTAATGACTTTGTATAAGAAGGATAGCTAAATTATTTCGGCATGACAGCTTCTGCAAAATACTGCTACATGAAAATTTTTCCATTGGACTTACAGAAGACATTAATTTTTCCCATTTCAAACTCCGGCTTTTGTTTATATTTTCATGATAAATTCTATTTATCTTCTCCTTTAATTAGGAAAGCAACCTGTAGAAAATAAATTTTTTAATGAATTTGTGAAAAGTTAGATTAGCAACTCAGTGGCTTACTTTAGGAACTGATTTAATTTTTAAAAATTGCTTCTCTTCATCATTCTTTTGTAGGTAGTGTTTGCAGCATATTTTTTTTACCCTGTAAACCAATAACTCCTTTAAGGCAGTAAGCTTAGATAAAGTCATTATGGTACTTTTAGAGTTTTTTTAAAGTAATGTATTAAAATAACTTGTAAGAGACTATGTAGTCTCATAGAAATTTAAGATGAAATTGAGCCTTTATGGTTTTTTCCTTTTTGACTGTCAGACATTGGAGCTTTTATTAGAGATTTAAGTCTGAATATAAGGAATGAGAGGATCATAAAGCAAAGGCTTTCATTAAACATTTTTAAATTCCCTACATCTAATAATCTCAGACAGAAAAAGAAAACTGTCATCCCATTTCCACTCCTCTGCTTGAGGATAGGGAGGACTCAGGTTTGGGCTCGGCATCTAAAGTTACTTTGGTTTGTATTGATATCTTTGAAGAAACTTAAAGCAGTAAAAGAACCTTTTTGCAAAAGTAAGTTTAACACAGAAACTGTTTTGTGTGCCTGCCTTTCATTCTGTGCTGTGGGCCCTGAACAATATACAGCTTCTGTTCTTTCTCTAAAAAGGTATTGGAGCCCCTCCCAGTCCTGGGGTAGCTAGGCGAGAGATGGAAGGTAACAAGACTTTCGCATCATAGAAATAGATCTCTCATTTTATTTCTAAATGTCAGCCCCTCCAGTGTTTAAAGGAATACTAAATCTTTTCTTAGTCTGACTGTAAATTTCCCCTTCCCCTCCTTATGTATACATTGTAACCTTGTATTTTTTCTCTTTTCATTCTGTGTTGTGTATAGTTTCTAATGGATATCCGTTTAATTTCCCTGAGAGTCTTACGTTGTTTTGCACTCTGTTTTGGATATATTTCATATATACTTAGGAGGTGAAATTACTGTACAATGTTATTTTGAGAAGAATGCCTTCAAAATTCTTTTCAGAATAAGTCAAATGTTTATAAAGTTACTATACTAACGCTGAAGTTTTAAAAATTAATAGTTGTAATTAAACCCTATTAATTCAGGTCCAAGAATATGGTATTGTGTGGATGATTTCAAGTAACAAATATTTTTATGTATAATGATGCTGAACTAAATTTGCTTAAAGACCATTAAGACTAGAAGCCATTAATTAAGATTATAGTTATTAAAGGGCTGTTGTATTTCATATAACAGTTGCATTTGAATTTCCTTTCAAAAAAGAATAAATCTGAGAAGTTGCCCCTACTAGTCCCCCCTACTCCTTTTTGCCCCAAAAGTGATTTATTTCATTTCATCCTTCCACTACATTTCTAATGAGTCTGAACCATATTTTAACACTGTCTTCCATAAGGCAGATATTTAGTAGTCCTATGTGCCTGTCTTCTACCTTCATCATGGGAGTTTGTTATAGAAATCCAAAAGGTCTCGTCCTAAGATTGCTTCGTGCATAATGGCATCTACAGCCTGAAGTGCTGAAACAGCGTTGTTGGCACCTTTGGTGTAACTTGAGAATGCAGCTCTGTTTGCTCAGGGGCGATTTGTGGGCCAGGCTCTGAGAGGCTGTCCTTTACACGAGCTGACCTTGTGTTTTCGCGGTTCACAGGAGAGCTTTGCTGGGAAAGTCGCCTTAAAAGTAACCCCACGAGTGAGGTATCAGATTGAGGACTAAGTTGTCTCTCATAAATGTCACTCTAAGAATTCTAGTTTTTCTCTCTTCTGAGATATTTCATTTAGGTATTTCAGATATTTCCTTTCATTCATCATTATCCAAAGCAAAGTACTTTTGTTACCATCTCATGCCCCCATTTCTGCCAGTAATGAAACAGTAGCCAACTGATTGCTTTATTGTTTACTTATGACTGATTTTTTTTCCCTCCTACTTCAAAGCACCCAAAAGCCCTGGAACAACGCGGAAAGATAATATAGGTAAAAATGCTTGAATTTAGCTACTTACCCTTAAAACTGGACCGTGAATAGACGCTTAGGATATAAGTGCATGGTTTCTTGTTTCTTTGTTTTTTAAAAGAACCTGAAATACATGGTGTGATGTCTGTGTTGCAGGACGCAATCAGCCTTCACCTCAGGCAGGACTCGCAGGCCCGGGGCCAGCTGGATACAGTGCAGCCAGACCGGTAGGCACACCTGGCCTGGGAGCCCAGAGGGCTGGCTCTGGGCCCCAATTTGCTGCTCGTCAAATGGGTTATCTTGACTGTTTCCTCAACTCTAAAATGAGGGCATGGCACTTGACGATCTCCTGCTTACCTTTCACCTCTCACATTATGTTAACATACTCTTCAAAAATAACTAAACGTCGATGTTCCTCAGCTAACCATGGGGTTATATTCCTGATGAACCCATTGTAAGTTGAAAATGGATTTAATACCCATAACCTTCCAAACATCACGGCTTAGCCTAGCCTACCTTCAACGTGCTCAGAACACTTCCCTCAGGCTACAGTTGAGCAAAATCAGCTAACACAGCGCCTATTTTATAATAAAGTGTTGAGTATCTCATGTAATTTATTGAATGTTGGACTGAAAGTGAAAAAGAGAATGGTTAGTGTCTTGGTTCCTCACCCTGGTGATCGCGGGCTGACTGGGAGCTGCGGCTCACTGCCACTGCCCAGCGTCCCGAGGGAGGATGGCACCACGTATCACCAGCCCCGGAAAAGAGCACAATTCAGAATTCAAAGTATGGTTTCTTCTGGTGCAGATCACTTTCTCACTGCCTTAAAGTCAAACCATCTTAAGTCAGGGACCATCATCTGCACTTCGTTATTTGAATAAAAGTGATATTCTTAAGTAATTGTGGTCACTGAATATCTTAGAATCACCAAGTCTATGAGGGAGTGATGTATTGGGGCAACTTTTTATCATATTATCTGAGTAATTAATGAGGATATAAAGTCATCCTTCACTAAGAAGGATTTTAAAGATTTTCTTTTTCCTTTTTCTCCCAAAGCCCCCCTGTACATAGCTGTGTATTTTTAGTTGTGGGTCTTTCTAGTTGTAGCATGCGGGATGCCGCCTTAGCATGGCCTGATGAGTGGTGCCATGTCCACGCCCAGGATTCGAACCGGTGAAACCCTGGGCCACTGAATCAGAGCTCGCGAACTTAACCACTTGGCCATGGGGCTGGCCCCTATAAGAAGGATTTTAAAATTAGATTTCAGAAAAAAGTTTTTATGATAGAGTTAGCATACTGAAACTGGTTCTGTAGGTATTAAAAGTAGGCAAGCATGGGACCAGCCTGGTGACATAGTGGTTAAGTTCATGTGCTGCGCTTTGATGGCCTGGGGTTTGCGGGTTCAGATCCCAGGCGCGGACCTACATACTGCTCATCAAGCCATGCTGTGGCAGTGTCCTGCATACAAAATAGAGGAAGATGGGCACAGATGTTAGCTCAGTGATAGTCTTCTTCAAGGAAAAATGAGAAAGATTGGCAACAGAACTTAGCTTAGGCCAATCTTCCTCACCAAAAAAAAAAAAAAAAAAAAAAAACCAGGAAAGTAGGAGAGCAGATGCTGTTGCCAGGCCTTTCTCCTACCTTGTGAATCTGTGGTTTGCTCTATGTTTATCATATGTTCTTTTATACGCTTAATTATTCTATTATTTACCTGAATGAAAATTTTCTCTGGAATATAACAATTTTTTTAAAAAAGAAAATGGAAACCAGTAAACAGTGACTTAGGCTAGTCTAGGGCAGTCTGGGGCTGCTGGGAGGCCTCTAGCTGAGGAGTGGGAACTGGGAACTGCTACTGTAACTAGAAATTAAAGTTGTGAGAAATTAAGAAACTACTTGTGATGAAACTACTTCTAATTTCTAGTAAGACATTCTCATAAAAATTCCAAGATAGAAATTTTGTCTTTTCTGTTGTAGCTGTCTATTTAACATCCAATCTAAAGGTCCTTTTCTGTATGCAGTACAGTCATGTGCCACATAAGGCTCATTTCAGTCAGTGACGGACCGCATATATGACTGTTGTCACATAAGATTAGGACCACGTAGCCTAGGTGTGGAGTAGACTGTAGCATCTAGGTTTGTGTGAGGACACTCTGTGATGTTCCCACAATGACGCAATCTCCTAACGATGCAGTTCTGAGTGTATCCCTGCTGTTAAGCAACACGTGACTGTAATACACTCCAAATTAAAACATCTGTAAAATATGCCTAAAGATATCTATTACCCATTCTCCTTTTTTCCAAAAAAGGAGAATTGCGATTCACTGACTCCACCACAAGTACTTTCTTTGTTCTATGTAATACTGTAAGAAGAGGGAAGGAAAGTCAGGATTTTGTGAGATTGTGTGCATAATTTTGCTTAAAATAAGTATTGGGGGCTTAAGGCTTCTGCAAACTTATGAAAATAGAAAACATATTTTTCACCAGTGTGTCTTTTAATGTATTTAGTTTAGCATATTGAGTTAGTCATTCAAGAGTTTTTACTTCTGTATTTAAAGAAAAAAATCCCAGGGTGTGGATTTTTGTAAGCGTCTTCGTTGCTCAGTGTGTGTCTCCATCTCCTCGGCAACTTTGACACCGGCCCATCTCCCATTACACCAGCCATGCTCCGGTGACGAGCAAGGGCCCCACGGCTTGGCAGGCCTGAGTCGGCTCCAGGCCTAGTTTCCTATCTTTGTAGTCTTGGGAAAGTTACATACATTTCATCACCTTAATTTGAAATAGAGATGATAAATAATACCTACGTATGAGGGATATTTTGAAGTGAAATGGAAATGCCTCCACAGTGCTTAATTAGCAGAGTGCCTGGCAGTAAATAGTGAAAGATAAAAGGGAAGATTTTAACTCGTGTGACTATTTGGCTGTAAATAGCGAGCAATGAAAAGGAAAAGATGGGGAATAACACCAGAGAGGGGATTAAATAAGGTGCAAAAGCAAATATTTTAACAAAATCTTATCTGTTGAAAACAAGTAATGTCTCCAATGTTACATTTCCCATTTCTAGACCATTCCGCCCCGTGCTGGAGTCATCAGCGCTCCACAGAGCCACGCTCGGGCATCCGCCGGAAGACTGACTCCTGAGAGCCAAAGCAAACCACCGGAAGTGCTGAAAGGTCGACACCGTGTTAGAAATAGCACTTTCCCTCTGCACTCCGTCCTTTCACTTTGCCTTCTTCTTCCTGTGGTCTCTCACCTTCTGCAACTTACTCAGACAGGGATATCCTTCTTTCTTTATGCCACAAGAAGTGAGGCCACTTGTTGGGGGAGGGGATTCGAAACTCCTAACATTGCACTAAAGGAAGGATAAAACGTGGCTTTCTGGAAAACACCTAACGTGTGAAAATGATTATTTTAGGTTCACCTCTTCTTCCTGAACCACTGAAGCCTCAGGCTGCCCTTCCTGTGCAGCCTTCTCTGCCCCCACCTGTTCAAAAGATGCAGGAGCCTCTTGTCCCTGTGGCAGCACCTATGCCTCAGTCTGCCCCGCAGCCATACCTGGAAACCCCGCCACAGCCACCACCTCGGAGCAAGTCGTCCCACGGCTTGCCTTCAGAACCTCCCTCGCAGCCGCAGGTAAGTCCTACTAGTAAACAACAGATCATCTGTGATGCCTTGGGATTTTGTTTGTTTTTTAGCCACCATTGTTTTTCTTTTCTTTTTTTTTTATTGAGGTATATTTGATGCTTTTGGTATGGTTTTTGAACATTTATTTTTAATTATTAGCTTTTATAAGAAATAAACAAATATAAGATTCAATTTTCTTTTTTATTTTTGCCTTTTGATAGTAATAGCCTCTTGAGATATGCCTTCGACAGTTGGTGTCACTTGACATCTCAAACTAGTCACGTAACAAACGCATGGTTTGACTGAGGGTTTGGGTTTTTTGGCTTTTTTTTTAGCCTGTTGCTTAGATCATGCTTTCTCAGAGAGTGATCCTAAATTAGGGCTCTTTAGGGAATTTTCAAGTGGCTCCCAGGCTGTTTTATCATGTTAATGTTTAAAGTGTCTATGACTTTTGGTTTTTTAATTCATAATTTGGATAATTGATAAGTTAGGATAGACAGCAATTGTTTATTTTTCTTACTGTTCATAGCAAATTTTGGCTTTTACTTCCTGGAGAGAGAGGCAGTCAGATCACCCCCTGACGTTAGCATGTGGTTGATCTCCAATAAACAGAATGATCCTTTATTCCTCTTGAAGCAAGCACGGTTCACATCTGTGCTGGAGCTGGCACTCGGGTTCCTCCGGGATCTTGGTTTCAGTCACTATTGGATATGTTTAGACGGGCTGGGCGTGCAGCAGGAGGCTTAGTCACAAGAGAAAAACCATCAATGTGCTAAGTCACCTCATTAGTGTCGCACAGAAAGCAGTGCCGTTGCCTTGGTGGGTGGAAATCATAGGATCGCAGGCACGGTTGTTACGTCACAGTGATCTCACACTGGAAAGCCTCTGGCATGTGTATACAGAGCTATTTTAATACAAGAGTAGTCATGCAAGTTAAATGGTTTTATTTTTATTTGGATGCTGTTTTACTTAGTTTTTGTTATATACATTTCAATAAAATTGTTCAAATTTATATTTAGTAAGCATATTTTTTATTGTCTAGCCTTACATTTTATTGATCCTAAAGTTGTGACTTGAAAGGCCATCAAGGCCAAAGAACTGTGTAAAGTTTTAAAAGTCTGCTTTTAAACTATGGAAAGTTTAAAATATAGAAATATGGCACAATGGCAGTGTCCCTTAAGTACATTTCGAAATAATAGTTTGCATTTATTTTTACAGATATCTTAGTATGTCCACCTAGTTGGCAGAAGTTAACAGTTTCTTTTGCTTCTACATAACGAAAAACAGATAATAAATTAAATATGACTCTTTTTTTTTTTTTTTTTTTTTGAGGAAGATTAGCTCTGAGCTAACATCTACTGCGAATCCTCCTCTTTTTCCTGAGGAAGCCTGGCCCTGAGCTAACATCCCTGCCCATCTTTCTCTACTTTATATGTGGGACGCCTGCCACAGCATGGCGTGCCAAGGGGTGCCATGTCCGCACCCGGGATCCGAACTGGCAAACCCCGGGCCGCCAAAGCAGAACATGTGCACTTAACTGCTGCACCACCAGGCCGGCCCCTAAATATGACTCTTAAAACAATATAAATACTGTTGGCAATTAGCACTTACTCATTAGACTATTGGTCACATTTGTAAAAGCTAAGAAGGATATATAATCAAGAACAATAAACTGATCTCTTAGGCTAATTAATAGCGAAAAGTCGTCTACATTTTTTAGTTCAGAAAATTGAGGATGCTGAAGATATATAATTATTTTAGAATCCTTCAAACAATAAATGACTACTCTTCTTTTCTCTCTGCCATCCACTCTTAGTTAGTGATGAATTTTTCTTCTCATTTTTTTAATAAGGTGTACTGTTGTAGTTTTTAAAATGTAATTGGAGGGCCAAAACCTTTCAAAGTAGCCGTCTTAGAGCTTTGTTTCACTGCTTTGGGACAGCACGCGATCATCCACTTCATAGTAAAGTGCACCTTACTCCTAAAGCTCTGTGATGGTGTAAGTATTCTTAGGCCAGTAGGAAGGACACAGCACTCCGAAAAACTTCAGAGAGAGCCAACTCTCAAGTAAGATGCAGTGTTCAGCAGAAAGTCATCTTGTGACGCAAATGCTCCAGAATGAATATTCCAGTGACTGCCGCATATCATTTTCTTAGGTCATTTTGCATTGTTTTGATTTCTGTTTTTCACTGGAATGGGTGTGGTGATTTGGTGGCAGACCACACATACTTTCTGTGTGGCCTGGTAGATTGTTCTGCTGAGGGCTCTTTTCCTGGCTTGCAGACAGCTGCCTTCTTGCTGTTCACTCCCGTGGCCTTTCCTCGGTACTTGCATATAGATAGAAGGCCAGCCGTCTGGGTGTCCTCTCATAAGGGCACCCATCTCATCATGAAGGCCTACCCTAGTGGCCTCATCTAACCTCAGTTACCTCCTAAAGGCCCCATCTCCAAAAACCAGCACATTGGGGGTTAGGGCTTTAACATTGGAATTTTGGGGGGTCACAGACATTTAGTTCATAATAGGCTGCTTAAAACTTTAGAGCTCCAGAAACCTATTTAGAATATTACTTTTGGAATAACAAAACTTTGAGGTGGTTAGTAATCAACTTCAGATAAAATTAAAGTTTGAGCCCTAATTCAATACATTTTTTGTTCAGAATCGTAAAAGAAATTGGAATTGTCTCTTGAACTTATGCTACAACCTGCAAATGTCACTGCTCTTGCATTCTGTGTATAATGCAGGCCTAGAAGTATTTTGAAGAGTGAATTGTTAGGGTTGCTGGTTGGTCTCAGATTGTCCTCCTAACTCTTTCCTTTGATGTCTGTGTTCCTTTTCTCAAAGCAGGAGCAACCATCAGGGTAACAGGTATCGGATTATTTCTCAATCTTCTATGTGCTTTTCATCTGTTGTAGCACATTAGATGTATGAGTCTTTCACTGCATACATCTAAAGTTTCACCCATTTTTAAAACCACCTGTCCACATTAATAAACTCTATCATCATACCATAAAACCTGCCTTTTCTTTTTCTTAGTATTTTAAATTTTTAGGAACCATTTTAAATTTTTAGTTGTTCTTGCTAATGCTTTACCATTTTTTGCTTTGTTTTTTATGAAATTAACAAAACTAAAAAATATAACTTCAAGAAGGTAAGCTTTAGGTATATGAAAGTCTGGCAAAACCAAATTGGTTCTTGGTTTTAACAATGGCATAATTACATAAATATAAAATTCCATTTTTTTCCTTAGATTTCTTCTGGGAAGTTTTTTTCAAATAATTTTAGTAACGAGTATTTTTGCTAAGGAAGGATTGATGATTTAGAAAGATGAAAGTTAATATTATAACAGGATTATTTAAAGATCTTTCCAACACCTTTCTCTGTAAAAATACCACTGTTTTTAATGTCAAGTCATCACAAATCCTGCTTCGATTATAAATTATTCTAAGGTAATGAATGGTGGTGTGGCTCTCATTATAATTTCAAGTCTGATTGGGCAAAATCCTGCTTCTATCAAGTTACCTTTAACTTATTTTGAAAAAACATTTTTTTTTACATGTGGAAATAAAGATATTTAAATGTATACCATTTATTTGGCAAAGGTCTAGTATTCTAAGCTGTGCAAAGCATACAATTCTCCTGTCCTATAATGTCTGTGTTGTGCACTGTTGTATCTGCCATGGGAGAATTGGGTCCCAGGCTTCATCAAGTACTTCCGTTGTGTTGTATTAATCCTAAATAATCCAGAGATTTTTGGTAATGTAGAGTTAATTGTGATTTTATGGTGTCTATAATAAATTTGCCTCTCGAGTGGATTTCCATATTTAGGTCTGTTTACCTTTAATACACTTACAATACAGTTTAGAGTCTGTAACATGTTTACTCTTTAATTTTGTACAAATTTATTAAGTTGTTTGAAGAAAATATACTTGTTTATTCAATTATAAAGTGTGTTCTAGGACAATTGAATAGGAATATCGGATACTTGGAAGTTAGTCACTCATGCAATTATCCACAGCACTTCCCTGTGCAAGTGAACAGCCTTCCCTGTTCTTAAGCACCACGTTACTGTTTCCTAAGACACACTAATGTTTTATTGGGAGTGCTGTCCTCTATTTCAGCCTATTTCATGAACGTTTAGTTATTTTGCTTTAACAACTATCTAAATTCATTTTGGTTAGTGCTCCATTTTGTCACATTGCAAGTCTTGAGCTGAAATATTCCCTCCCCTGTTCTTTTCAACCCAAAGGTTTGTTTTCTTATTTTTAAATCTGGCATAAATATCCAAGTCATCCACCTAGTTTTAATAATTATGTGGAGTTTTTAAAAATTAAAATGAAGTGCTTGATGAGCTAATCTGCTCATATGACCAGGACGATAGTTCTGTTTCCCAGAAGAAAAATTGGCTTTGCTCAGTCCCCAGCCATGCTCCACTCCACCTGGCTTCTCTGTGAACTGCGCACAGAGTGCAGATTTTTTATGACTGTACGGTAATTCAGAACACTTGTCCTCCCAATAACAGCTCACTGCCAGCTCTGTCACATAGAAAGGACTGTGCACCACTCTGGGCACAGCTTCACTCTGGTTTCAGAATTAATATACCAAACAGAAAATGACATCTTTTTACCCTGGTTTTAAACAGTCATCGCATTTGGTTATTAATAAGCCTGTCTGTTTTGGAACATCTTTACAAGCTGAGGAAGGTCCATTAAGGAGCACTCGCATTATTCACAGAGTTTATTCTACGAAGGAGAACTTACACTAAAAGGCAGAGAACGCTTTGAAGATTCACTTTTCCAAGTGGAAAAGGAAAAGATGCATTGTCTTCAGCTTACGAATACAAATATACTAATAAAATTAATTTTCATTCATAAAGTTTAATTTCCATAGTTAACATTAACTTTCAATTAAAATATGTTTAAAAGAACAATGAAACCACATCATCATCATCCATGGGTGTTGGAAGTTTATTTATACAGATTTAGCATAAGTTCTGAATATGAGTTTCTTAAGTTAGTGTTAACATTTGATAGAACTGGACATGAGCAAAACTCATTTGCTAATTCTGTATAATTCTCCATTTTATCATATCAATACTTGCATGAATGAAATAAGCTGTTTAATTTCTTTGGGATTTAAAAAAATGTATTTAATAAAAGGATTTACTTGTCAAGGACTTTTTAAAGCATAAGATTTTAGCTGTTTTACTTAAACCACCGGAATAACAAATTACACAAAACTGCTTTTTATTTTCTAAATTTGTACACTTGCCCCCCAGAATGAAGAATAATTGGGACAGGAAGCATAGGGAGTATTACAAGTAAATATATTACTTTTTTTTGATTATTCAATGCTCTCTTTCTTTACCAGGTAAAAACAAATGGAGTGTCTGCTGTCAGACTGGAATCGCCATTAAAGAGTGACCCATTTGAAGATCTGTCATTTAATCTGCTTGCTGTATCAAAGGCTCAGTTACCTGTCCACACATCACTTGTTCCAACCCCAGACCTGAAGAGGTTGATTCAGTCACCTTCTGCAACACAAAGTAACATTAATACTTTGAGTTCTGCAAGTTGCATGCCAACAATGCCTCCAATTCCAGCCCGGAGTAAATCCCAGGAAAATATGCGATGTTCACCAAACCCATTTATTACGAGCTTGAGCAGCACAAACCCTTTCACTGACAGGACTGCTGCTTCTGGAAACCCATTTCGAGCCGAGTCTCAAGAATCAGAGGCAACTTTATGGTTCTCCAAAGAAGAGCCTGTTGCTAACACTCCTTTCCTTTCTCTGAAGCCTCTTGGTCATAACAAAAGCAAGCCTTTATCTTCATTTGATGGCTTTAAGGACGGTTTTGATCAGCAGGGCCAGTCTATGGTAAAAAATAGCAACCCAAAAGGATGGGTAACCTTTGAGGAGGAAGAGGACTTTGGTGTGAAAGGGAAGTCAAAGTCAACTTGTGGTCCAGACTTACTGGGTAATCAGCCACGCGCATCTTCTGGCTCCAGCGTGACCTTTGATAATGACTGGAGTAAAGGTACAAATGTTTCTTTCTGTGTGTTGCCGTCAAGAAGACCACCTCCACCTCCTGTCCCTCTGCTCCCACCTGGTACCACCCCACCAGTAGAGCCTGTCACAACTTTGGCATCTAAGGCATCACCCACACTAGACTTTACAGAAAGATAATGGTACACACTAGGAAACAGTGGTCTTTTTAGTTTTGGCAGGGTAGAGCCAAAAGGATTGGGCATTAGTTAGTCATTATGTGCAATAAGTAATTGTTAAGTGCACTGATGTCGTCATGAAATACCACTATTTAATGTGTACAAAGTTGGAATATGTGTATATTGGAAATAAGGAAAAATCCTTCTCATTATTAACTGGAGTTTTGGTGTGTTTATGCTTGGATAAATAAGAGAGTAGTAGCCATAAAAAGTGCTCAAAACTACTTTAGAAAATAGTCCTTATTCAGAAATTCTTTCTCGGTCTTCTCTGAAGAATCTCAAAAAGCCCAAACAACTTCTAGCTGACATTACTGCCAGCCCTTTGGTACTTGTTAACAATCAGTATTTGTAAGTTTTTACTAGAGAGCTATCAAAGTTATACTGAAAGAGAAGTTTGAAAGGCACTGCTTTAAAAAAAAATATGTATACGTGTGCACACACACATGCACACATATATACATTTACATATTTATAAAATTCATAATCTAAGTTCTAGGATATAACACAGACCAAATTTTTACCTGAAAGTTCTAACAGAGTTGTTTTTTCAGTATTTCATTATCAGAAGGATGGCTATAAATGGAATTTGGACATTTCATTAATTTTCTTTCCATGACTAGAATAATCTCACTACAGAACCGGAACTTCCTACCATCCCCACACCCTGCCCCTTCAACCACGCACGTAACGTCCATCCTTGTTACTTTCCACTCCAGCACCTCCATATGCTTTGCTCTGGGAGGAGGTTCTTGCAGCTGGAAGCAGCATATTCTGTGGTCACTGTCATGTAGACAAACACTCCAGCCCTTTCAAAAAGTGCTATGGCCTTGTAGGCGGGAAGGCACGTGCCACCAAGTTCAGTGAGGAATCTTAGAGCGAAGCGTCCTCTCCTTTCTCGGTACGTTAAGGGATCTGTTTTCATTTCCCTCCCACACTGGCTGCTTTTGCCCTGGAACTCGGTCAGCAGGGAAAGCAGCAGTCCACAGAGTGTTTTGAATTTGGGGTCTGCTCAGTGTCCGCTCTCTCCCCTAGAGCTACAGAACACATCTGTGATGCTGCTTTACGTTTTTAGAGACTGCATCTCAAGTTAGCTGTGGATTTTGTCTCCTGCACTGCCAATATGCAACTGATCCTGCTTTTATTAATTTTATGAAGAAGTACACAGAATTTTTACAGAATGTAGTATTTTGATATCATTAAGTAATCCCAATCAGAAAACTCCTTGAGCAATATTGTTTTGTTGTCAGTTTAAGTTAAAATCATCTTTACCCATTAAGACTTCTATGAACATTCCTTTTATATAGAGTTGTAGGCATCCACATTGTCCACATTTAACCTTTGAAGATGTGCATGGGAGGGCTATCAGAAATAGAGTTCATGGCTAAGAATCTGTGAAACGTGAAAGCACAGCAAACCGCATTGCACTTAACCACGTAGAGCACATCGAGTAGGAAAGCACTTTTCTAAATGCTCAAATGTTATCAAAATACTATATTTATAGAAGTAATCCTCTCTCTGTTAACAGCCAGGATTTGCTGTTAGAAATAACTCTCACGAGTTTTATATTGTGCTTTTTTGGGGGTTCTATTCATTTCAGCAGTAGTATATTTTAAACAGCAGTATTACTCTAAGCATTGTGCTTCAAAATGTGAATTAACTTGTTGAAACTGTGGCTTTAACACCTATATGATTAATGTAAATGGCATTTGCTCTCCATTAGCAAATAATTCATGAGAAACTTCCCTAGTGCAGACTGCAGTTCTGTGAGCAATGTTTCCTATTAAATATTAACTACTGTTGAAAATATACATATCATGCAGCAGCTCTGCCTTTATCAGGAAAATTATATTTGGCAAGTTGCTGAAAGGGTACAAAGTTATGAAAGTTAAAGGTATGCTGCAAATAACTAGCCATTATTCTGTGTATTATTACAATATTTACGAGTTCTCTTAAAAGCAGAGCAGAAATCAGACACTAAGGATCTCTTCGTGAATTCCTCGTTCTCCATAGTAGATTGCTGTTTATATGTAAGAATTTTATTGCTTATGTGGCATACAGTATTTATAACTATATACTTTATAGAAGTACAGTATTAAAGTCAGTGGTATACAAACACTCTGTACATATCCTGTGAAATGTGCTGTCATATGAAATAAATATACCTGTCTTTACCATATTGACTACTTTGCTCAAAAAGAAAGAAATTTTCTTAGCCATTTGCCTTGAACTTTATATATACAAGTTTACTGACATTTGGGGATTAACGCTTATTGTCAGTCAGATCAGCTATTTTAAATTCATGACCTTATTTTCATCAATTTCACTTCTCCGTTTGATACTTACTCTAAATGTCAGAAAAAAGAGATTCTGAGATTACTAATCATTGTTAAGAAACCCATGCACTTCTTCTGTAAGAGAAGCCTTCATTCAAAATCTTGTTGCCTGGAAAATAACACATGAAGCCCGAACAATGATTTTCTAGCCCACAGCAAAAGAAACGGCCTGGGGCAGAGGGGAAATAGGCACAGGAACAGCCAGACCAGAGAAGAGACTGGCGAAGAAGACCCCAAGAAAGAGGCTGAGGCTAGTAGTTCCGATGAGTACTGCCTTTTGTCAGTCTGGTAAGACTGCTATTCAAAACAATAACCTTGATGTATGTTCATTAACCTCTGTTTAAGAAGTTACAGAATAATAGGCTTTAAAAAAACTTTAAGATAATTGTAGATTTATATGTAGTTGTAAGAAATAATACAGAGATCCTAGGTACCCTTTACCCAGATGCCGCCAGTGGTCACATTTTGCAAAACTGTAGCATAATACCACAGCCAGAACATCAACATTGATACAGAACATTTCCATCACCGCGAAGAGCCCTCCCCTTGCCCTTTTTCCACTACCCTCCCATCCTGTCCCCCTCTCTTGTCCTTAACTTCCGGCAACCACTAATCTGGTCCCCATTTCTATATTTTGCCACTTCAAGAATGTTATATAAGTGGAATCGTATGGTATGTAACCTTCTGGGATTGGCTTTTGTACTCAGCACAGTTCTCTGGAGATTCATCTGGATTGTGTGAATCACTAGTTCGTCCCTTTTGATTGCTAGTAGTAGTCCATTGTATGGAGGCACCACCGTTGGTGTAACCGTTCACCCGCTGAGGGACATCTGGGTTGTTCCCAGTTTGAGGCTACTATAAATAAAGCTGCTGTGCACATTTATGTACAGATTTTTGTGTAAACAAGTTTTCATTGCTCTGGGATAAATGCCCAGGAGTGCAATTGCTGGGCCAGTGGTAGTTGCATCCTTGGCTTTTTAAAAAACTGCCAAACTGTCTTCCAGAATAACTACCATTTTATGTTCCCATCCGCAGTTTATGAGTGATCTGGTTTCTCTGCATCCTTGCCTGCATTTGCTGTTATTACTATTGTTTATTTTAGCCATTTTAGTAGTAGATATTTCATTGTGGCTTTACTTTGTGTTTCCCTAATACCTAATGATGGGAACATCTTTTCATGTGCTTATTTGCCATCTGGTATCTTCTTTAGTAAAATATCCATTTGTATCTTTTGCCCATTTTCTAAATGGATGGTTTTTTACTGTTGTGTTTTGAAGCTTCTTTGTATATTCTATGTACTCGTCCTTTGTTGGATATGTTTACAAATTTGCAAATATTTCTCCCTGTCCGTAGCTTATCTTTTCACCCTCTTCATATGCTCGCTCCATAGCCAGATCCTGAGCTCTGCAGGCCCACAAACCACAGCAGGGGCGACTGGCACAGGATAAGCAAACTCACAGAAAACTGACGTGTAAATCAAAATGCCAGTTTATTAATTTTAGAAAAATAAGTCTGACCACATCAAGATTTAGCACACGTGGAAAAATGGGAACTCATACCCTGTTGCTAAGAGGGTAATTTGGCACATCAGCTCTAGAGACAATTTAACAACATCCAGTAAAGTTCACATACTCTATCACAAGAAGTTTGGTTTGTAGAGAAACTCTAGTACATGTGGAACAGGACATGCATTGTTTGTAATGGTGAAAACTAGAAATAAGCTAACCATCAACGGGGGATGGAGGGACACATTCATACAGTGGAATACTATACAGCAGTGAAAATTAAGTGAATGAAATATTAGTAAATCTCATTAGGGAGCCATAAAGCAAGTTAAAAAAAGATATGACACCATTTATATAAAATTTAAAACATGCAAAACAATACTCTCTATTCTTTAGGGATACATAGATGTGTTAATGGTATAAAAACATGCACTGGGGGACTGGCCCAGTGGCATAGTGGTTAAGTTCATGCGCTCTGCTTCAGCACCCTGGGCTGTGCAGGTTCGGATCCTGGGCATGGACCTACACATTGCTCACCAAGCCATGCTGTGGTGGCATCCCACACACAAAATAGAGGAAGATTGGCACAGATGTTAGCTCAGCGACAATCTTTTTCAAGCAAAAAAAGAGGAAGATTGGCAGCAGATGTTACCTTAGGGCCAATCTTCCTCACAAAAAACAAAACAAAACAAAACCCCGTGCAATGGGAATGATAAATTCAGGCTAACAGTTACCTCTGGAGAAGGGGAGGAGGGGAATAAGACCAGAGAGGGGTATGTGGGAACTTTCATGTATCTCTAATGTGTTAGGACATAAAAAAATTTTTTTTTCCAATAGAGTAAAAATTTGCTCTTTTCTTTCCTGGCTGCCTGATATCTAGCAGTCATCATGAATGACCCATTAGTTATCTGGACCAGAGTGTTCTTTACGATTGGATTGCTTCAACAGATACAAATGGTCATGAGATGCCCTTCAACCTAGAAAGGCAACAGTACCTAAAACATTCAGAGAAAATTAGCCAAAACGCACAAGATGTCATCTTTGTCTTCAAAATCAGAACCCACTTGGGTGGTGGCAAGACAACAGGCTTTGTCATGATTTATTATTATTTACACTTTGAAAAAACTACACACAAATGGGTGAGACATGGCTGATAGAAGAAGAAAAAGACCTTAAGAGAACACTGAAGGAATGCAGTAAAAGAATAAATACAGTTAGGAGGGCTACAAAGACAAGCATCAGTGCTGACAAGAATTGAAGGTGCTGCAAGGGCTTCATCTGTGGCGATTTGGCAGATTCTTTACCAGCTGATTAACTACACATTTAAACAAAACTGGGTGGCCCGTACGTGGGTGTTCTACACTTCATTCGTATTGTTAAAAATTATACCCAGAGACCCTGTCATACATGAGTTTGGGAATAAATGGTTCTCACTGCCTAGAAGGCTATACTCTAAACCAAGTGTTAAGCAGGAGTTGGCTTGGCGAATATGGAATTGGATTCAGGAGAAATACGGGGATGATGTTATGGCGAGCAGTCAGCAGCTAAGAGAACACAGTAGGCCCCTTTCTCCCCTGGGGAGAGAGACGTTTGCCAGTCTGACGGTACTGATGGTCCAGGATCTGGGTAATCCCTGCCCCAACAGCACTAGAGGAAAACACGTCTCTCCCTGGGAGCCATCCAGTATCCAGTATCCAGTGTACCAGGCTCCATATGAGGCCCTGGATTGGCTTTGGGCATTTCCAGGCCTACAGTCACACACTTTCTCCACTGCTGCCCCCGGGCCCCCAGGGATGCAGTTTCAATGGAGAGAGCCAAAGTTTCAGGAATACAAAGCAGCGGCTGCTTGTAATATTCAAATCAATTCGTCTGCAAGGGCCCTTCGAAAGGAGAAAACCAGGGCTAGAGGCCTTGCCCTAGCTTAGCTTTGCCGGCGCCTTGTTGTCAAGGACGCGGTGCAAATGTTACCCAGCCCCCAAGGCAGGCCTTCCCTGACGATCCCATCTAAAAGGCCAGTCACTGTTTTGTTTTCTTTATATCTCTACTTGAATTGCCTCATCCGTTTACTTCTGCTTTCCCTGTCCCTTACACCGGAACATGAGCTCCATGACAGCAGTAACCCTGCCCTCTGGATCTGCCGCCGTGTCGCCGGCGCCGGGAAGCAGCCGCGCCCGGCCCGATCGCGGTTCCCTAGCAGTCTGTCGGCCGGGGGCTGGCTGGACAGTTCGGGGAGGGTCGCTCCGGCAGCAGCCGCTTGAGCTCCCCTAGACATGCGAGCCCGAATCGGCCCGCACAAGCAGTGCGGCCGCTCTCCTTGGCCGCCCGGTGCTGAAAACCGGAGCATAGCGGACAGACAGCAGGGGTCAGCAAACCCAGCTCGCCCTCCGAACTTTTCCAGGCCGGAAGCGGCTGGAGGCGTCTCCGGAAGTGGAGGCTGCTGGAGGCGGAAACGCCGCCCCGATTAGGAGCGGGGCGGGAAGAAGCGGCGGGGGGTCGTCGCCTAGCAACGTGCCTCGCGCTCGCCCCACCTCCCTGGGCGGAGCCTCGGGCCCCAGGAGAGCGGCCCTGGCGTTCAGCGCTCCCCTCCGGCGGCTGGGTCTGCGTTTGAGAGTTGCCCCGACAACAGCCACTTCCGGACCTCGGCGACTCCCGCTCGGCAGGGGCGGGCCTGGACCAGCGGCCCCCCGGGCTGTGGGGCTCGTTGCTCGGCAGCACCTGCTTCCGGAAGCGGATTACGAGTCTCCGCGCCCCGCAGCCTCCCCGCCTGCGGCTTCTGACCTCGAGCTGGCGGCTCCTCAGACTCCGCGTTGCTCTGTTGCTCCTGGCAACAGCCACTTCCGGGAGCGAGCGCCGTTCCCCGCGCACCGCGGGCGCCCGAGCCGCGGGTTCCGGTTTCCCGGCAACGGTTGGTCGGTCGCCGCTGTTCGCCGCTCGGGTCCCCGCGGGCCGCGCCTCCTTTCTCGCCTCCTCGCCGCCTCGGCGGGGCCTCCGGGGCCGCCATGGTTCTGCTGCACGTGAAGCGGGGCGACGAGAGCCAGTTCCTGCTGCAGGCGCCCGGGAGCACGGAGCTGGAGGAGCTCACGGTGCAGGTGGCCCGCGTCTACAACGCGCGGCTCAAGGTGCAGCGCGTCTGCTCAGGTGCGGCCGGCGGCGAGAGGGCGGGCCGGGCGCCGGAGGGAACACGGATCGGGGCCAGCCGGGACGGAGGAAGGCGGGCGGGATGCGCCAGGCTGTCTGGGGCCGGCTAGGGGCGAGGGTCCACTTTGCGACGACCTGTGGCGACCGGGCTTGCGATGGGAGGGGGCGGCACGGGCCTCGGCGCCGGGCTTGGGGCGCTGTGAGCCGCAGACTGAAACAGACTGGGTGCAGAGGGAGGAGGGACCAGGAGGGACCTGAAGGACTGGGCCGCAGAGCAGGTGTAGTGGCATCAACAAGTGCGAGAGGTGGACCGATCACTGGCCCCGATAAAAAGGTGAATTCACTCTTCTGAAACTTCTAAAGTGGTGCAGTTTCCAGGGGTGAAGCACCCAGCTCTGGGAGGGCCCCTCAAGGGCGACAGTGCGAGGGCCTTGATGTTCTTTTCCCTTCTCCAGGGAACACAAGCCTGTTTCTCATGTTGCAGCGCAGGCCACGCTCCTCGCGACACTCCAGAGCAGCGCTGTCCCGTGGAACTTGCCACCGCGATGGCAGTGTGCCCTGTTTGGGCTGTCCAGTGAGGTGTCCGCCAGCCGCAGGGGGCCGCTGAGCACGACCGAGGAACTGCATTTTTTATTTTATTTCGTTTGAATTTAAATAGTCAAGTGCGGCTGGCAGCTACCGCAATAGACAGCACAGTCCTTGACATGATTCTCCAGATGTGGCCTAGGATGTTATGGAGTGTTTCTGTAACTATCATAGGTGATTTTTGTACCATGGAGAACGCCTTAAGGGTCACAGGTTCTGCCTTTATAAGACGTGCATATAGTTTCTTAGTAAAATGTACCGATTCCAAAACAAGCTTAATCTTCAATGTTATTTTAAAGTTAAAGCATATGAGGAGAAAAGGGGCTCAACTTCTTTTTCTATAAAATTATCAATTGAAAATGTGAAATGTTAAGAATCGTGTGAGTGAACTTAAAATCTGTTCATTTATTCTACAGTCGCCAGTGTCAGCTGTGATTCAGGCAGGCCCAAGTGCTGTGCTAAGTGAGACAAGGATGGAGGAAACCAGGGCCTTGCCCCCCCAGACTTACAGTCTGCTGGGGAGAGGGGCAATAAATATCCCATAAGTATCCCATTTAGTTACACCGTTTGTTCCGTAGTGTTGTATATGACAAGCCACCTGGGGTCTTCATACAGTGCTATGGAAGACCTCGATCTGGGTACCTCTTTCTCACGAAGGAGGGATGGAAGGAAGGAGCGAAGGAAGGAAGGAAAAGCAATTTTGCAAGATTAAAATATGGATTCGTTTTGGGGTGAATATGTGTGGAATAGGAAAGATGTAAAGCCATGCATTTGAATAGTGAACATGATACTAGAAAACCAAAGTCTTGTCCTGTCTCTGCCGCTTTGGAAGAGTGTGAGCTGCCTTAGATCCTCCCCACTGATCAGATTTACATAAATTATTTATAAGGTATTTATATAAAGTAGTAGCAGGGTAGCCTGCCCTGGTGGTCTAGTAGTTACCATCTGGTGCTCTCACCGTGCAGTCTGGGTTCGTGTCCTGGTCAGGGAACCACACCACCCGTCTGTCAGCTGTCCTCCTGCGGTGGCTGTGTATTGCTGTGACGCTGAAAGCTATGCCACTGCGATTTCAAACACCAGCAGGGTCACCCATGTGCACAGGTTTCAGCAGAGCTTCCAGACTAAGACAGACTAGGAAGAAGGACCTGGCCACCCACTTCTGGAAAAATTGGCTGTGAAAACCCTATGAATAGCAGTGGAGCATTGTCTGATATGGAGGGTGAGAGGATGGTGCAGAAAGACCAGGCAGGGTTCCACTCTGCTGTCCACAGGGTTGGAGGAGTCAGAATCCACTGCACGGCACTAACCACCACCACAAAGTAGCTGTGTGATCTGAGCAAGCCTCCGATGATACAGCTTCACGTTAGGGAAGATGGGGATGTTGATAACTGTCTTGCCTGCCTCCTAAGGTGAAGTTAAACGGGATAATCTATGTGAATGTACTTGGGAAACTGTAACGCCCTGGGCAGATACGATTCGGACTGTCAGTGAATTGTGCTTTGCCTCCGGAGTGCCAGGAAGTGCCGCATAGCACACAGGAGTAGAACATGGAGTCTGCTGCGCCCAGCTGCCCGTGCCCAGGGGCAAGCTCTGAAACCCACTGTGCTTCTGTTGACCTAGGACAAACTGGCGACCACTCGTCAAAGGTCAAGGACAGGTCTGGCACATAGCAAGTGGTATCTAAGCATTCGTTAAATAAAATAGCGGGCTGATGAGCAAGGCCCCTGATGTCTAGGGAGCTTATGCTCTAATAAGGCATAAGGTGTTATGATGATGATTGTAATACATACTAACTTTCTCCTATTTTTAAGAAATGGAAGAATTAGCAGAACATGGCGTCTTTCTCCCTCCTAATATGCAAGGACTGACTGATGACCAGATTGAAGAACTGAAACTAAGGGATGAATGGGGTGAGAAGTGTGTGCCCAGCGGGGGCTCAGTGTTTAAAAAGGATGATATTGGACGAAGGAATGGACAAGGTAATCCAGCATTTTTCTTCTCTGCGCATACCTGAATATAGCAACACGTTAAAAAATTGACCTCAGTATTTCTGGACAAACTTAACAAAATTCTGCACCACATACCTCCTTGTGGTGAGCTGCTAACCCAGAATGAGCTCGGTGGATAAAGGAAGTACTTGTCTTGCTCTTACTAAGTTGCAGCTAGCTTTTAAATATATAGATGAACCATATGAAATTACCATTTTTGCAGGTATAAGTGTTGGAGATTAGCCGTTTCATGTGCTTCAGCCTCATAGTTTTGGGGGGATAATCATTGGAAATGTATTTTTGTTATGGTTTGCAGATCCTGGGGCTTGTTTAGAGATTCTTGTGAAAGAAGGAAATGAATGTCAGCCCAGGGGTCTCCTCTTGAATTGAGGACATGCGTCTCTCTGGTGCACAGCACTTAGTGTATGTCAGAGCAGGAAGAAATTATTCTCCTCTTAGGATCGGGTAGATCATGGGGAACATGAGGGAAAAAAGCATGATAACCCATTTTTGGTAGCTTATCCCTTTTGACCTGCATAGAAAATTCCATTTGAGAGACTATAATCAATCATTGAACAAACATGTAAGTATCTACTATGCCCCTAAAACACTGTTAGGAGCAAAAGAAATACAGAGGTGTCCCCTCAAGGCCTTTACACGCTCGAAATATATATATATATTTTTCTTTTTTTTTTTTTGAGGAAGATTAGCCCTGAGCTAACATCTGCCGCCAGTCCTCTTTTTGCTGAGGAAGACTGGCCCTGAGCTAACATCCGTGCCCATCTTCCTCTTCTTTATACATGAGACGCCTACCACAGCATGGCTTGCCAAGCAGTGCCCTGTCCACACCTGGGAGCCGAACCAGTGAACCCCAGGCCGCCAAAGCGGAATGTGTGCACTTAACCGCTGTGCCACCAGGCTGGCCCCTTTATTTTTTAAATATTGAAGATAAGAGGAATTTCTAGTATCATTTCCTTTGAATTTTAACCTGGAAAATGGTTGGCTATCTTCCACGTCTTTTCATCCCTAAACTCATTCTTCATTTGGAGAGAGATTCTTTGCTTTTTAGAAGGAATTGCATCAATGAAAAAAATAGTAGGATTCCATAAGAACCAGTTAGCAGTTGACTATTCATCTTTAAACCAATATTGTCTTAAATTAACCATTTCTATTCTAATACAATTTTATATTTCTAGTATTTTCAATGTCTAGTTAATCCTGTTATTGAGAATATAAGGTTTGAACTTGCCCCGTCTCCCCTAGGTTTGGACATGCCACATCCACTATTTTTGCTTCCAAGCTTTCAAGTTATTTTTTTTTCTTGTCTAGGGGTGGGCAAGCCGTGGGCCACAGGCCAGATTCGGCCAGTGCCTGTTTTTGTAAATAAGGCTTTATCGGAATGCGGCCACCCCATTGGTTTTATTGTCTGTGGCTGATTCCACACTGCTCTGACAGAGTCCAGTAGCTGCAAGAGACGGTGTAACCTGCAAAACCCAAAATATTTACTCTCTGCCGCTTCGCAGGAAAAGCTTGCCAGCCCCTGTCTCTCCAGGGACATCTATTCCTGTTCCTCGTAGCTTTCGCCACTTTGCATAAAGCACGCTCCGCTCTCTGCTGTCGTGAAGAGGTCTCACCCGACTGCTCACGCCAGCTTCTTATATCCCTCACTCAATGCCACGCTCGTCCTTTCTCTCGTTCCCCTCACTCCCCGACTCAGACAGGAGGGCCTGGGATGTTTAAGAAGCGTGTTAGAGATGGCTGTCTCTCTGCCTCTTCCCTTTTCTGTTTTTATAGCTCCAAATGAAAAAATGAAGCAAGTTTTAAAGAAGACTGTAGAAGAGGCCAAAGCAATAATATCGAAGGTTAGACTTTTTAAATGATGCTCTCAAGCTTGTCCTTTGAAACACAGACTCCAGTTACGGCTTCCGGAGTCATCTGTCGACCAGCCTTTTCTTCTCTGTTTTTCTTCTTTAAGCCTTCCAGTGGCAAGGGAAACATCCCTTGTTTGGGGTGGGCCCTGGCTTTTCCTTTTCATGACTCCTCCCTGTCCCCACAGGTCATTGGCCTGTGTAGATGCGGCTCACGTGTAGTACCAATAACCTGTGACGCCCATGTGACTGCTTCCCTTCCCCTTCGGGCCGACTTCTCCCCGGGCCTGCCACGCCGGCTCCACACCCTGCACCGGGTCAGAGGCAGTTGGCCTGTGGTCAGGATGCCGCGGGGCGAGCAATGGAGGGTTCGAGCCCCAGTGGCCCCCCTGACTGGTCCCATGACCTTGGGCTGGAGACTCAACCTCCATCGCTCGGGGCATCACTGGGAGAGCAAAAGACGGTGGAATATCCAGACTGTGTGGCCCCTGGGGATGGGACGATGGCGTCTACCGAACCCCTTTTCCTGGGACCCACCTCTGCTGAGAGTGGGAGTCCAGGACGGTTGGGACATCTCTGGTGTCCTGAGGCTGCACTCAGAGTCTGCCCTCCAGCCGTGGCATCTGGCCAAGGCTCACTGCCCTTGGCATCTGGTGGAGCCGTTATGGAAGATGACTCTGTGGCGCCCCCTCCGTGGGTAATATTGTGGTGGGGGTGATGCCCTCCGAGCAGGAAGACTTCCCTCACGTGGTCCCGTGTCTCCGTTCCTGGGGCATATGCCTCTGGTGGGAAGACCTGCTGTGTTTAGTGGGGATGTATGCCTTAGAGAACAGTTTCCTAAGCCGCCCTGGGAGTGGGTCAGGCAGGAGGATTGCCTCCATTGTACAGAGGAGGACATGGTTTAGGGTTTAAATCTGGGCCTCCAGGACTCCCGCCTTCCTCCCCGAGGGGCGTCAGCTTCAGGCCCCGGGCCCCGCCCGTCCTCCTTCCCCAGCTGGGACTCTGGCATCCATGTCGGTTCCATGTCACACCCAGGGCGCCGGACGCCTCATTTCTCGGAAGCAAGGGTTCATCTCCCTTCCGTGTCATTCGTCTCCACCGCGGTCAGACTATAACTCAGGGTTACTCAGAACGGTTCCGTCTCAGACGCCGACTCTGACACTCCCCTCTTAGCTCTGGGCCCAGCGTCCTTCCTGCCTCCCACCCTCAGCCCTGCCCCTCGTCAGCATGCCAGTGCCTCCGCAACCCCGTGGGCTGCCCGCTGACCCCTCCTCCCTAACCTGCCTCCTCCCAGCTGGCCCCAATCCGGCCTCTTCACAGTCCGCAGGCCCTCACGCTCTGGGCTCAGAATGCCCGGTGCCCCTGCCTTGCTCGTCTCTAACCTGCCGCCCCTCTGCCCACCTGCCGCCCACCTGTGCTGGGAGCACTGGGGAGGGCCACCTGGGTCCTGCTCTCTGATCTCTCTGGGCCCCTGTGGGGACCGGGCAGCCTGGCTCAGACATTCTGCTCCCCTCCGGCTCCTGCCCTCCCGCCCTCCCCATGGGCAGCTCAGCCTCCTGCTGTGGCAGCGAGGCCATGCGGCCCGAGCCAGAGGCTCTCTGTCCCCTGCAGATTCTCCCTCTTCCTGTGTCGTCCTCGTCCCTCCCCCGAGACTGAGAGATCGGTGTCTCTCCCCCCGGGGCTATCTCCCGTCTCTGCCTCTGCTCCCACTCCCTGGCTCTTCTGGAAACCCCAGAGGGGTGATGTTGTTGGTCTCTCCCGTCCTGTGGCCGTGTCCATTCTGGGCACGCTCAGGCCTCTTCCCTCAGCCTGCATCAGTGCTCTGCGGTCAGCCTGTCCCTCCTGGTGAGCTCCCGAAGGAGGGCTGCACTGTGTCGCCAGACCCCTGGCCCGGGACCTCCCGGGTCTTAGAACCTGGTCCTGTCGTCTTCTGCCCAGAAACGGCCCGTCCAGAGGCCCTTCTCAGCCTGCCTCCTGGACCCTCGGCCTTGACCACACCCGCGTCCTGCTCCATTCTCCTTGCCCCCAGCTCTCTGAGTGCCCTCAGCTGCTGCTCGTGCCTCGGATGTGGTGATGTCAAAGGACTTTCCCCTTGGCCTCTGCTTTCTTTTTCCCTCGGCAGTGTGTCTTCTGTCAGAGGTGAGCCCCACCCCTGCAGATGTCTCCCACATCTCCATCCTCCACGCCTCACATCTGTCTGCACTTGCAGCCTGAGTTCCCAGCTGGTTCCTGGGTGCTTCTACCCGAAGGTCCAGCCGGCTCCTCACACTCAAGTTTCTAGACCTAAACTCCTGACTCCACCCCCACCCCCCCGTACTCGGTACCCCAGAAACACTTCCTGCAGACTTCCCATTTCTATGAACAGAACCGCCCTGTCTCGGTTATGCAGGCTGGTCCTCGGTGCCATCTTCACCACTTCCCTCTCTGTCACCGTGTGCCTTAAGTTGGGTCCTGTGCCGTCTGCCCCCGAGATGCGTCTTCAGTCCAACTCCTCCTTTCAGGCTCCCCTGATAGCCTCGGGTTCAGACACCAACTGTACAATTCGGTTCTACTCAGAGCTGGCGCAGACCCCACAGGTTAAAGGGTAACGTCCCCAACCAGACTTCCCTTCCTTCAGACCCCAGGCGGGCTGCTCTTCTGTCTGACGTGGCTGCAGATCGGAGGCCCCCACGGCCCCCTCAGGTTCAGTAATTCACTGGAATGGCTCAGAGAACTCTCGGCAGGTGCTGTACCTGCTATGATAGTTGTGTCATGAAGGCCACAACTCAGAAACTGCCAGATGGAAGAGACCTGTGGGGCACGGTCTGGGGGCCGGGGCAGACCCTCCCTGCCCTCTCCTCCTCCGTGGAATCGGGCATCCACATTCCTGAACATCGATGTGTCCTCCAACCAGGAGATTCCACTGAACCTCGACTTCCGGAATTTTTATCGGAGTTTTATTACGTGGGCACGGTTGATTCAATCATTGGCTGCAAGACTGAACTCGTCCCCAGCCCTGCCTCCTTACCTAGGGGTGGTGAGGGGGGGGGGGGGGGGGCCTTGGTCCTGAAAGCTCCAGCCCCCGAGTAACCTGCTTGGTCTTCCTGTACAGCTCCTCCCTTGGAAGTGTCTGAGGGCCCACCTTGGGTCGCCTCATTAGCATAAACCCAGGTGTGGTCAAATGGAGCTCCTTATGAAAAACAGACTCCCATCACTCAGGAAATCCCAAGGGGTTTCGAAGCTCTGTGCCAGGAGCAGGGGACGAGGATCAGATGTATTCTTTATTGTATAGAGCCTGCTACCTGGTCTCCCCTCGGATAGGCGGTCCTACACCCCCTGCAAGAGGACTCTCCCAGCTCCTTCCCCGGGAAGCCGGGCGCTGCCCATCACCCCACATTAAACGCAAACCCCTCCGCCGGTTCACGGCCGTTCAGACACGAGCTCCCCCCTACCCGTCTCGCACTGTCTTCTCTTCTGCCCCGAGCAGAGGGGCCTGCTGGCTGTTCCCTGCTGTTCTTGGCTTCTGCTTGTCCTGAGGCACGCAGCTCCCGTCCCCAGCCGGTCCCTCAGCCGTGTCCTCAGGCCCCGCCGCGGTGCCGTCCCCGCTGCCGTGTGTCCTGCTCCTCTCCCAGCTCTGCCGCTGGCTGGGCGCTCCGCGCTGCACCGCGCTCCTCCCGTGCTGCTCACAGGCTGCTTCACCGGCTCGGCCGTGGGGGTTGCTCTGGCGGGGTGTGCTGAGGGTCTTGTACAGGAACCCGCTAAGCACTGGTTGAGTTGATCTGCCGCGGATAACGACGCCTGTCCGCTTTCAGAAACAAGTGGAGGCGGGCGTCTGTGTCACCGCGGAGATGGTGAAGGACGCCTTGGACCAGCTTCGAGGCGCCGTGATGATTGTTTATCCCATGGGGCTGCCGCCATACGACCCCGTCCGGATGGAGTTTGAAAATAAAGAGGACCTGTCGGGAACGCAGGTATGTGGCTCTCGGGCGTTCTGTGGGTTCCCGTCGCCCCAGGGCCAAAGCCCCTCAGATTTGACCCTCCTCTTCCGGATAGAGCTCTCTGCTTCATCCATGGCTTCCCATCTTGTTGTGCTGTGCCTCCGAGAAGAGTTCTGAATTCGGGGGAGGCCCCCGACGGTGGTGCTTGTGGTCGAGGGCTTGGCCCACACACACATGGAGGGCAGGAGAGAAGTTTGTGAGGCTGCCCATCTCTGGCAACTGAAAGCATTCCCATGTCCTTTGGCCACTGGAAAGCCAGGAACCTAATCTGTGCCTCTTTCTACCCAAAGGTGTTGGTCCCTCTGCGTGGAATTTTGTGATCCAGGCTTACCTCTTGCTTCCTGTTGTTTTCCTACCTTTATGTTCCATTTTCCTTTGTTGTTCTCATTTGTTCCTTATCCTGTCAGACAGTGTCTGTTTCTCTGAACTCTCTTAATTATATAGGTGGAATATGCAAAAGCAATCAAACAGCCCCATTCTGCCTGTATTTAAAAACCCAGCAGGATTCCACTGTTGTCCCCTGGCGAGTGTCCTGAAACTCCATCCAAGAGGCACCTGGTGTTACAGATGCAGGCGCAAACGAGATAGGGTACTGGCCCCTGCCCAGAGCAGGAAGTCAACGAGGCGGGGCGTGAGCTGAAACTAGCAGGGAGGGTACTAAAATGAGCCAAGGCTTTGAGTAGGTGGGGGTGTCTGTACTGCCCATGGGGACTCAGAGAGGGCAGGCGGCGCAGGATGCTGGACGTCTGCACTGGGAGGGCACCAGCCAGGCTCCGCACCTGGGGTGGCCCACCCCTGTGGCAGTGGCCTGATAACCCCAAAGCTGTCCTTACCGTGGCCCCAGGCAGGACTCAGTGTCATTGAAGAATCGGAGGCCCAGCTGTGGTGGGCAGCCAAGGAGTTAAGAAGAACAAAGAAGCTTTCAGACTACGTGGGCAAAAACGAAAAAACCAAAATTATCGTCAAGATTCAGCAGGTAAGTACTTTTGCTTTTAACACGTCACTAGTTTTTGTCATTCACTTTGCAACTGATAAAAATTTACAATAAATCTCAAAGATTTAAACTCCTTGTGCAAATACTTAAGCCTATTGGTCCAGGCTTAAAATAAAACTATCCTCTTTATGCACCAACCAAAATGGGAAGAAAATGTGAATTGATTGACAATATCTGGAGTTTGTTTTAATTTGGGCAGAAGGGGAATATGCCATGTTAACTTTAAAAACAGAGCTACAAGGAGGCCAGCCCTGTGGCTTAGTGGTTAAGTTCATGTGCTCCGCTTTAGCAACTGGGGTTCACAGGTTCGGATCCTAGATGAGGACATACACCACTCCTCAGCCATGCCGAGTTGGTGACCCATGTACAAAATAGAGGAAGGTTGACACAGATGTTAGCTCAGGGCTAGTCTTCCTCAAGCAAAAAAAGAGGAAGGAGCCAACCCCATGGCCAAGTGGTTAAGTTCACGTGCTCCACTTTGACGGCCCAAGGTTCACTGGTTCAAATCCTGGGCACAGACCTCGTACCACTCATCAGGCCATGCTCTGGTGGCATCCCACATAGAAGAACTGGAATGACCTACCCCTAGGATATACAACTATGTACTGGGGCTTTGGAGAGTGGAAAAAAGAGGCAGGTTGGCAACAGTTGTTAGCTCAGGGTGAATCTTCCTCACCAAAAAAAAAGGAAAAGAGCTACAAGTAACTAACAATGTTTCTTGAAATGAAAAAACACACTGATTTCACGTTTTTCAAAGTGCTGATACTCAGGGAGTGGGGAGGAAGCGTTGGAGAGTTCACGGGTGTGATGTTGAGCCGAGTATCTGTGAGGCTGCTTTGGCTGCGTGCTCTCTCTTAAGGCAGCACTCCGTAATTTGGGGAAACAGGGTCCTCCGTGATTCTCTGTCCTTCCCCACTGGACGTGCGGTGGCTGACTGGGGAATGGCATCGTGCAGCCTCTGGGCTCCATCCACCGTGAGGGCCCAGAGCCAGGGGCTGCTGACGCCCGAGACTCTGCTGGTGAGTCCCTCTGGGTGACCGGAAGTGGGTGATGGTTTATCTTTAGCAGTTGGCGAAGTTGGTTGTGACACATTCTCTGTGACTTCCTGGCTTATCGCTAGAGGAATGCCTTAGTCCACAGTTTGCTCTTCCCTCATCTTTTCAGAGGGGACAGGGAGCTCCTGCCCGAGAGCCCATTATTAGCAGTGAGGAGCAGAAACAGCTGATGCTGCATTATCACAGGAGACAGGAGGAACTCAAGGTATCGGGCGACAGACGGGGCCTGGGACCTTCACCCCATGCCTGACCCGAGGGCACCGGGGTCATTGGGGGTGGTGACATCTACAAGATGTCAGGGGGCGCTTCCTAGAGCCTCAGCCTCCCCAGGGCCACTAGTGCCCTGCCAGGCATCCCCCTGCACGAGGGCCTGGGCAGGTGGGCGGGGGAGGGTCCTGGCTCTCGCTTCAGTCTCTTTATGCTGCAAAACACTTTCCTGAAACGCCTTCCTGAGTAAAACACATCTATTTCCAGAAACTGGAAGAAAATGATGACGACTCCTGTTTAAATTCCCCGTGGGCAGACAACACCGCTCTGAAAAGACATTTCCACGGGGTGAAAGACATCAAGTGGAGGCCAAGATGAAGGTCGCGGCTGTCGAAGCTTTCGGAACTATTCGCTCTCCTTTCTTCAGGCAAAAGAAGAAGAAGAACTAAGAAGGACACCCACCACCCTCTGTGGAAGATGCTGTAGTTTCTGGTTTTCCTAGTTTTTCTTTTCGTTTGAATTTTTAAAATAAAAGTTATTCAAGGTTTCAGAACTTAATAAATACATCCTCCAAAGAATCTGCCTGAATTTTTTATTTCATGACAGTTGTTTAGTATTTGAGGTTTTTCTTTGACAAAATACTAATGATGTGGTTGGAAACATGTTTTTCTTCCTGATTATTTTATGTCCTCATGACGGCTGTCGTATGGGAGGAAATTGATGGTACTTAACCTCCACAGCAAGTCAAGTGTCTGCTGTAAACTTGGCCGTCAGTGGCCACTAGAGGCCGCCAGGCGCCTTCTTGTCCCGCGGTGTCCTTGGACCTGCTGCAGAACTCTGTTCTCAGTCTTCTTTCCGAGGCTTCTGAAAACCCGCCGAACGGTCTCACCGCAGCCTGGCGTCTCCCAGCCTGGACGGTGAAGTTCACGTCCCGGTCGGGGCCTGACTGCCCTGGTCCTCCACCTGTGATGGAAGTTGGGTGGCCAAACTAGTCTAACTTTGAAACTGAACACATTCTTCTGCAGGTTCCAGGCTTTTCCTGAAAATGAATGCAGACCCTGGTGACGGCTGGTTCTCCCCGTGGGCTCAGCCCACAGCCCTCAGTGCGCGGAGGTTTGTTTGTCTGAGGCTGGCAGTGGGGTCCAGCTCAGGCGCCTAGTTTGGCTTGGTGACCATCCGGCCACAGGACACACTCTGTGCCCCGTCAGCCTGACTGGGTTTCCAGGACACTCCAGCTCATCATCTGCACACCCCTGACACTTCAGTAGCTTAGTCCGTCTCCCAGAACGCCTGTGCAGCAGAGGTGGCCTAGGAATCTTGTCCTGCTTGACTTTTGCTCTGTAAAATACTGTTCCCCCAGTTGGAGCTCAGCATGCTGGCCCTGAGGAAACGTGAAGTGACAGGGACTTGCCCTGCTCTGGTCTTCCTGTGCCCACTGCTCCTCGTCCCCCATGGTGTCCAAGCTTCCACCACAGCCACAAAGATGGAGCTGTGGGAGCAAGAGGAGGCAGCGTGGGTACAGTTTCCACCTGCTGAGGGGCAGCCTTCCCTGGGGGCGGGGCCGGGACCCGCTGCTTGGTTCCCAGACCTGGTCCCATTGTGAGGGGTGGGGACGGGCCACTTCTCCCTCTGCCCATCTTCCTGGGTCAGAGGAAATAGAAGTTGGGACACCACAGCAAGACTCCCTGAGACTCTGCCCTCCACTCAAGGGGAGGACGTGAGCTCCTGGCAGGCTAGTCCCTCTGGAGAGCAGAAAGGACCCCAAGCACCCTACACAAGTTCTCCCAGAACCTTCTGCCTCTCCCCTTGCCTCCCCACCATCTCCCAGTTGCTTAGGGCGGCTGCCCCTGAGCTGACTACTTGGATTTTCGCTGTTCTCAAATCAGGGTTTCCTAAAGCAGGTTGTAGCAACTAAACATCCCTTACTTTTGGTTAGTTGCCAAATTTTGTAAAATCAAATTTGTATCTATTTTCTCTTTTACTTTCATTGCAATTTTAATTGTCTCCGTGAAAACTTTTTGTCCTTGGATGACCTGCAGTTTGCACTAAGACCCCATGCCTGTATTTGAGGAGCACCCGCCTTGATCGGTGTGTGGTGTATGTGCATTACATCCAGGCTAGACCGGCAGAAAACGTCAGTCAGGCCACGTGATCGCAGTACAGCTTCTTAAGATCCACTGTTTCCATGTCATTAGGAATTCTCATTGTCTCAGTGGGATGTTAATGCCTTATGTGGCCGTGATAGTTACCCCATTGCTTCATGTAATCAGCAGAAGTTCTTAGCCAAAGGGCCGCTCACTTCTGAGTGTAGAAATCACTAGATTCCTAGCATCACGCACACTCCTTTACTGAATACTCGTGTAAAGGGAACAGTCCGCCCTGCCTGCCCTTCTCTGCCTCAAAGCTGCGAGCTCTCTCTCGTTCGGATGGAGTGTCTCTTACAGCCACCAAAGCAAAGGGAGACGAGCAGTCACTGGGGCCGCTCGGTGCCCACTGTTCTTATGTGGGTTAATTCAGTTCCACCTACTGAGGAAGGTGGTGGTGACCTCAGACAGGTGACCTGACTACTCTGTGGTCACATCCCTAGTGATGGTAGAGCCAAGAGGCCACACCAGGACCTGCTCAGGACTTCCCAAGAAATCGGTTTATCAGCAGAAGTCATCTTGCCAAATGGCAGGCTATGGATCAGCCTAAGTATGTGGTCTTGGTGTTACTTTATTTTTATCCAGTACATCTTTGGATTAATCTCGAAAGGAAACGAAGCACCTGTCGTCTGTATGGTGCCAATCAGAGTCTGTGGCTTTGTCCTTTTACATAAGCTGTCTTCTCATAGGTTATTTCATGGAGGCCAGGAATGCTGGTAATAAAATCTGACATCTCCTAAAACCCTTCCTACCAGCAAACTGAAACACTGGGCAGGATTTCTGCCACAGGATCACCTCGTTCCTTGGGGACTGCTCTGCTAAGAATGTGCCATCAAGCTTGAAATTAACCGCCACAGGCTTAGAGCACAGGAGCCTTGAGGGGTCTGAGTGCTGCCAGATTCTCTCACAAAGTGTCACAACCACCGCCACCACGCTCTGATCGCCACAGGATCCCTGGAGTCGTCGCTCCACGTGGCTGAGAGGCCCTTGGGCCCCAGAGAGAGCTCAGGAGAGATGTGGTCCATCCCCAGGCAAAGATCAACGCCAGATGTCGCGGTAACGGCAGCCGGCATTTATACCTGCTGTTTCCCAGACAGATGTACTAAGAGCCGTAAGTATATTTTCTTATTTACATCTCACAACAGCCAAATTAGGAAGAAGCCAGTATTGTTGTCATTTCACAAACGAGGAAACCAAAGCCCAGACAGGTTCATTTGCTTGAGGTGGAGCGTCTGAAAACCCACCTGCTGGCCCCAGAGTCTGCTGTGAACTCGACCTCATTCCTGTTCATACCTGATGTGGATACTAAACCACGCGCTAGTGAACATCCACAGAACACACGTCTGGGAAGGGCCCAGAGGAGAGCGCGCCCTAGGGTGGGGTGGCAGCCTTCCGTTATCTCAATGTCTAAGGCAACGGTGATGGGCTGTGGGTCCTGGGACAGCTGTGGCCCACCCACCACCAAAAGGGGGAGGATGCCTGAGCGCCCCCTTGAGAGGCTGGAAGCAGACGGACACCTGGCTCAGCTCTGAGGTCACCCTGCTGCCCCAAGCGATTACAGAAAGAGTCGGGGGGGTGTCCCAGCTAGAGGAGAGACCCCCAATCTGCTTCCAGGCCCCACACGCATGGGTCCTAGGATTCTTTGCCCAGAGGAGTCTGGGTCACACTCGCACGGGTTCAGAGGTTAGTGGATGAAGGAATTCCCGCAGGCCAAGTCCTGGTCCATCACTAGTTTGACAAGACTGAATTCTATGCATTCAGACCAAGGAAGCGACAGCCTGTTCCAGCAGTGAGCCACGATTCCAACAGACCACCTGAGCCAGCAACGTCACGAAATGCAGAATGAAAAGTGCCCAAAACCCTGTTTGTAGTTTTGTCGCCTAAGTTGCTGATCCGACAAGCGGCTGTGTTGGGTGGCCGTGCAGCCCAGCAGCCACATGACCATGGTTGTGTCACTGCCTTTTCCTTAACCTTCTACTGAGTGCGCTTGGCACATCGGCCTAAGGTACAGAGCACATGTCAATGTTTTTTCTTGGCTCACCGAGAGAGGCCATCATGCTCTGCTTATCCAGGTGGCCCCGAGCACAAGGCTAATGAGCGTGAGAACGGTGTTGGTGACCTTCTCTCTGCTCCTGCATCTGCCACATCATTTTCAAACATGACGAACCCCGTGTATGAGTGGGTGACATGACTATGATGCAATAAATGTGGTCCACACGGGCCTCCTCTCTTTCCCCCTCCCTGCCTGTTTACCGTGGGCTCCCCCCTGACTCCCCACCCCAAACAAAGTAGGCAGATACAATAGCAGCATTATTCTTGTGAGGTCTCCTTTCCTGTTATCCTATTTGCCTTGTGCTGGAACGAATCCCATAGGCTCAGAGCAGCTGTGTGGTTTAGTGGTAAATTAGCAGAATACAACACACACTCAAAGCTCTTGCTGTCAGAATCCTACGTTATGACATCACTTGTGATCGTAAAATAAAAGAGGCAGAGATAAAACAACTAAGGGCGTTAACTTGCAAGTCAAAACTCCTGAACGGAGAGCTCTCTGAGTCGAAGACCTAGACATTCCCAAAATGAACCCAGCTCTTGTGAACAGATGTCCACCGTCTCTCACAACTGTTTCCAGGCCTGAAAACTCTTGGCATGGCTAGAGGTAATTTACATTTCACTGACCAGAGAGATTTTGATCAGCACAGCTCTTGAGTTTTCCCTGGGAAGTTATTGAATATACGATGTTCATAGTTTCATGCTAAAGGAAATCAAAACTGATGCATATGTCTGGACAACAAATGCCATAAATCAGCTATTAGCAAACATAATTAGACTTATTAAAGTTTAACCGAAGCTGTCTACGTTGGAAAAGTCGCCCTGAGCTGACGTGGAGGAAAAGGAAAGAAAACATTAGCTGGCTTAAAATAACAACTTGTTTGGAAAAGACAGAATTTCAGAGCGTGTGGGTGTCCCATCCTTGTTGAAACAATTAAAGAACCTAAGATGAGAAATAGTTGGGTGTGTTTCTTTATTTCAAAGTGGACTACATTTCCTAAAATGCCTCAGAACATGGTACCACAGTTAAAATGTAATTTTAAGTATTAAAAAATTATAAATTATGTTAACTTTTATAATCATAACTTTTATGTAATTTATAAAATTATAAATCATATATATGTTTTTTTTTAGTAAAATCTCCAAGTAAGGAGCATTTTTTTTAAAAGAGGGGCTGCCTTTAATTTTATCAGAAAGAGGAAAGTTATGCTAAAACAACCTCTGTCAACAGAGTCACTTCCTGGGAAGTCCATATTAAGCTCAGTCACTTGGTCCTGGTACAGCTGCTCGTATGAAAAAATAGTGCTCATAAAGCTGACAGCGAGCCTAGAAGTTTTCACTTGGGAGCCCAAATTCAGATGTGTTTCATATACTCTAGTTACAAA